AAGGTTTTGACTCTGTATTTGTTCTTGTAACAGTTCGATTGTGGCCGATAGTTCTTTCCTGGAGAAAAAAAACTTTTAGCTGTTTCTAAGTTGACAAACTTTAGCCGAGTAAGACTCGGGTCGAAGATCCAATTGTCGTGTGAACATTAGCCCTTGTTATGGCTTGCTCCTTCTTTGAGATACATACATATCTCAAATCTTTTCTTTTCATAATTTTCCCATAAAAACTTTAAGTTAATATATCTTTATGTTAATATATCATCTAGATATAAAAGAGGTCAAACCTTTATTTGAAGCCAATGCTCAAAACATTTAGATGACAAATTTTACAAAATAAACGTTATAACGACTTGTATAAGAAAACCAAATCTTCAATATAGTTTTTGAAAAAACGGCTTTGAATATTTTACTTCATATTTTGAAACTGTTACAAGATTTTTACCAAAAAACATATCTATTAAAAACATTGCTCCGAGATAATTTTAATACGTTAATTTATTGTTTGTATATGTATAAGTATTAAAGTGTGCAAGTATTAACATACATTTACAATTCCAATATGTGCATAATTCTTAAAATTTTCTTAGAAAAAGTTCTTTTTCGGAACATGTGTGATCTATGAAAAATGTATACCTGAATAATTGTTATTTATCAATAGAATAAATTACCATTAACATTAATTTATACGAGCTGTATCTGAAAAGCTCGCATACAATGTATGAAAGTGTAAATATAACCCAACAAATTTAAAACTTTGCAATGTATCCCTTTTAGTTAGTGTTTTCCCTGAATTTCCAATTTTCATTTTATTTACTTTGTATTGCGTAGTGAAATTGTCTTTAGATTACTTTAGCTTGTGATGTTTTGCTTCCACTCTCCATGACAAAGACCGAAAAATATAAAAATTCAAATCATACTAATAGTTAGTCATTTAAAAGGAATGCATTGAATCCTTGTAAAACTACTGGGTCCTACAAAAATCAATTTATCCCCATCAACAGTTGGAAAAATAACACATACACACAAAGTCATTAGTTGTACATACAAATTTATGTAATCATCTTGGTAGTGTTGTTTTTTTTATTTGACTAAAACATTTGATTAACATAAATTTTCTGCAGACACGTACATACATAGTATGTATGTTTTTTAAACATACACTCATGGAAAATACGGTAAAGTTTTAAAGAATCTGAACTTTCAATTTATTATACCAACCATCAAAAGTTATAAGGAGTAAATATATTGATTTTGTTATTACGTTGGTAATACATAGAAATGTTGGTCATAGCCCCACAAAGGTATACATATTCTGGGTGCTAATTGGTTCTAAGACGATATAGACATGTTACTCCGCCTGTCTGTCTATCCTTCTGACTATTTATAAGGTTCATACTAAGGTTTTGTTTGTATATAACCTAAAATTCATCTACCAAATTTTATAAGGATCGGTTCAAAATTGAATATAAGATACACACTTATTTTTTCTATTAAAATATTTTGGTAAATTTAAATATTAAGGAATTAAAGAAAAGGGAATTAATTGGTGACATCTGATTGCAGTAATTACTATTTTTTTAATAATATTATATTTTTAAGAATTATCAATTGTTTAAATGCATCCTGAGTACTTTAGTTGCGAGAATTTATCCTTTCGAAAAAGTTGAATTAATTCGTTGAAGAATTAACTCTTATGAAATGCTATATTACTTTTGAATGACCAAATTTTGTTTGAATTCAATCTGTTACAAATTGAATTTAAAAATATATTCAAACATTAAATTATTTTTTAATTTAAAGGCATTTTATTTAAAAACGCATTAAAAACAGGCTATTAATTCAAAGGAATATAATGCCAAATAAACAGTAATAATACCTAATTAATTAAACTATTTTTTCAGTGTATTTGTTTTTGGCCCTTTCTATTGAAAATCTAAATATTTCGTTTCATTGTCACCACCCAGTTTTTTAACATGACAATTTTTGTGAGTGTAGAGAAAAAAGTATGGTATCTATCAACAGGTTATCTACTCTAAATACCCCCCAAAAAAACTAAATGGAAAAACTATAAATCCACTAAATAACATACACTTTAAATGGCCAAAGTGAATTTATATTTCATTAGGAATAAAGGGCATTCGGTATTAAATATGTATTTGTATGTCAGTGTGCTTGTTGCACATACTTAAATGTTGAAAAAAAAACCAGAGAACTTTTTTGTAAAACCATTTTCATTTTACACAAGTTTTGGTGTATTTTTATCATTAGGTTACATATTTTCAATATCTTTGGCAAATGGTTAAACGTTTTATTATTTTTAGAGTTGGATAAAGCAGACAATAAAAATTATTTGTGTATTAAGGGACAGAGTATAAACGCACTAATACATAACTTTCGCCACACAATTAAGTCGTCTAATAAATTAAAAAGCTTTGGAAATAATTTTAATAATATAATACATATTTTCATTTAAATACTTATTAACTTTTAACAAAGGTTTAATTAGTTTAAAACAAAATTAAGTATAGATACATGTTTCTAGTTTATACTATATGAATACTATCCTACCTATCTAAGGTATTCTATACTTTTCTATCTACTTTATATATACTAGTTAAAATATAATAAAAAAAATGTTGTAGATGCTTTGACATTTAACCTTTAGACTTTTAACTTTTATATAATCGTACATTTTTGCAATTTTAAAAAATAATTTTTAAAAATGTTCTTATTTACTTACATGTTTTATGTATTTAAAATTTGTATTTCACTTTTTATTGTATTTTTTTTTCAACACTTTCTTATTATCTATCCCTTTTTTTCTAGGAATTTATGATTGTTACTTCGTTTATTTTTTGGTTGGCTTCGTTCGGTGTTGAGTGTTATCCTTTTGGATACTTATTGTCGAATGATTTGAGTAACCGAGATGCTTACGTATTATAAATACTTACATTCATTGACTTTATGTTAAGGACACTTGTCGCAACACGTACAACGTATATGTATGCGACTCCGTACTCGTCGCTGTTAGATATATGTACGACGAAATTCCTCAACATGAATGAATGGTGTCTTTTGTTGTTTGTTGCTTTCTATGAAACCCAAGAATTTATCCGGGTATTTGTTTTTGTTTTTCTTCGCATTTCTTTATATTTTTGCATTTAGTATATTTATTGTTCGTTCGTAGGCTCTTATCCTAAATCAATATGCGTGCGCATAAAATACGCAAAAACTGAAAAAGGTTGCCAAAGTAAAAAAAAAGGAAATACATTTAGGATTCCAAAATACTCCTAAGTAAAAACTAACTAACTAACTAACTAACTAACTAACTACTAACTAACTAACTAACTAACTAACTAACTAACTAACTAACTAACTAACTAACTAACTAACTAACTAACTAACTAACTACTAACTAACTAACTAACTAACTAACTAACTAACACTAACTAACTAACTAACTAACTAACTAACTAACTAACTACTAACTAACTAACTAACTAACTAACTAACTAACTACTAACTAACTAACTAACTAACTAACTAACTAACTAACTAACTACTAACTAACTACTAACTACTAACTAACTAACTAACTAACTAACTAACTAACTAACTAACTAACTACTAACTAACTAACTACTAACTAACTAACTAACTAACTAACTACTAACTAACTAACTAACTAACTAACTACTAACTAACTAACTAACTAACTAACTAACTACTAACTACTAACTACTAACTAACTAACTACTAACTAACTAACTAACTAACTACTAACTAACTAACTAACTAACTAACTAACTAACTAACTACTAACTAACTAACTACTAACTAACTAACTAACTAACTAACTAACTACTAACTACTAACTAACTAACTAACTAACTAACTAACTAACTAACTACTAACTAACTAACTAACTAACTAACTAACTAACTACTAACTAACTAACTAACTAACTAACTAACTACTAACTAACTAACTAACTACTAACTAACTAACTACTAACTAACTAACTAACTACTAACTACTAACTAACTACTAACTAACTAACTAACTAACTAACTAACTAACTAACTAACTAACTAACTAACTAACTAACTAACTAACTAACTAACTACTAACTAACTAACTAACTAACTACTAACTAACTAACTAACTAACTAACTACTAACTAACTAACTACTAACTACTAACTAACTAACTACTAACTAACTAACTAACTAACTAACTAACTAGGTGGCCTCCGGTAGGTTAGTGGTTAGTGTTCTAGTCTGGTAGACCGGAGGTGGTGGGTTCGATTCCCACCTGAGGCACTGGTTAAGGAGCGCACAACAGGCCCGATAGAGGCCTAAGTGTATTTCTTCGGATTTGATGTATATTCATCCTCCTTTCAAACTAACTAACTAACTAACTAACTAACTAACTAACTAACTAACTAACTAACTAACTAACTAACTAACTAACTAACTAACTAACTAACTAACTAACTAACTAACTAACTAACTAACTAACTAACTAACTAACTAACTAACTAACTAACTAACTAACTAACTAACTAACTAACTAACTAACTAACTAACTAACTAACTAACTAACTAACTAACTAACTAACTAACTAACTAACTAACTAACTAACTAACTAACTAACTAACTAACTAACTAACTAACTAACTAACTAACTAACTAACTAACTAACTAACTAACTAACTAACTAACTAACTAACTAACTAACTAACTAACTAACTAACTAACTAACTACCTAACTAACTAACTAACTAACTAACTAACTTACTAACTAACTAACTAACTAACTAAGTAACTAACTAACTAAGAAGTTTTGCAAAATTATATGAAAGTGTCAGTACAATTTCTTATTAAAGGTTTATATAGTACCTACTCATCGGATGAGAAACATACCCGGAGTACCCGACACTTTACCGCTATTCTCCTTTCCAATCTAAATTCTAACGAATGAAAACCAACAATTTATTATAATTTATCTTATAAATGTTTATTGACTATGTATAAATACAAAATTTTTATAATGTTTTTGCGTTTTTTAGTAACTATTCTTATTTATAACTTATTAAATTTTAATTAAACCGAAAAAACTTCGCTCACTTTTATCGCTTAAATATGGATTGCGACTCGAATGAAAATCACGGATATGAAGCTGATCATCGTTCTCCAGATTGATAAGACCACTTGTGTGACACGTATTGATAAGTGGAACATTGTTGCTAAAGGTGTTATGCAAACATTGCAGGAATGGTTTTTCTCTATGGAATATAGAGAAACCATTTTGCGGGTAATTATTTCTATAGCAAATTTGAGCATAGACAAAATAAAGACCGGGCTGTCGTACTCTTATAACACCGTTTTCAACATTAAAAAAGTGCTCAACACTCAATTCATTGCTGGCACTGGGTTTTCCAATATAAACATCACCCTTTTGGTCTAAGAAAAACAATTAAATAGATAATAAGTATGAATATTTTATTAAATATTTGTCACTTACTAGTTATTTGCATATCATGTTGGTGGTAGGGTACTGAGTGATTAATATGAAAATGTGCTGCCGGCTTAAATTCCAGTACATTTGTAGTTCTAGGAGTTACATGTTTAGCTGAAATTAAAGAATCACCTGAAATTTTTTATAAATACACAAAAGGATTATTGGGATGTTAAGGATAATGTAATGAGAAAGGAGGCAAGGTCTGGGATATGTCTTGCATTAAATGACCTACCATTTTTCAGCAAAGGAAATTTGCGTTTGCGATGGTTGTGAATTCTGAGAGGACTGCGATGTCTTTCGAAATTTTCACTAGCAACTATCGATTTAGGATAGCTACCTTTCAAAGATCTAAAAGAATATAATAAACCCTTAAAAAATCTACTGTTTTCATATTTAATCTATATAAGAAATAATACCTTAAAATATGTTGACGTTCGTGAGAGTCTTTTTCTTCAAAATTTTCATTATCGTAGACACTCACCGATCTGGTTTTTCTTTCACTATAATGAAAATCACAATTTAGAGGAAAATTTTAAAATCAGATTTTAATGATTCGCATACCCTTGATGTTTATTTTTGGAATCGTTGAATTTTTCAAAATCATCATATAAGTTATCATCGCCCAAGGAGTCAACACCATCGGTTTCTTCTTCGTCATCTTCAGTTTCTTGATAGTGTCGGAATTTATTCATAAGCTCTTCATAATCTTCGTAATCATCATCGTCATCATCCTCGTCTTCATCATCATCTCCACTCATATTTTCATGGTCATTATCATCGTCGTCGTCTGCATCGGGAAGTACATCATCAATTAGAGCATTGTTATTCTATTGAGAAAAATATAAATAAAAAAAAAACAGATAGATAAAAAATACAGACAATTTTTTTTTTTTTTTTGAGATCAATTAAGATTTATACACATGGATAATATCACTTTTATATAATTTATAAATGGTTTATATTCGAATATGTATAAAAAGTAATTTTTCAAACTATTTAGAATTGATTTTTATCACTATTAAAATAAAAATATTTTAAACAAAAAATGCGCATTATTGTGCCCTATAATTAAATTTTCAAATTTATACATTTATTACTTTGTGTGATACATTAAAAGCCTCTCCGATATAGAAGTAAATCAATGACTTAAACTTTTTTACTAAATCAGACTAAATGTGCCTTCGGTAGGTTAGTAGTAAGCGTTCTAGTCTGTGAGACCGGATATCATGGGTTATATTCCCACCAGGAGCACAAAAGGCTGGAGGCCCCCTTTCAAACTAACTAAATCTAACTGAATGCAAAACTTATAAAAAATCGTATAGTCTATAGATTGATATTGCCTATGAACTAATCTATTGGCTAGTCTAGGGTCTAGTATTTTTATCTATTGACGAATCTACTGATTATTCAATCTACTACAAATCTATTCAATGGGTTAGCCTATGAACTAGTCTATTAATTATATATATTTACTAGTCTACTGACAAGTCCATGAGCTTGGCTATTAACTAGTCAATACGTAGGTCTATGTACTAGCCTATGGAGTAATCTATGAAGTAGTCAATGTACTACTTAAGTAGTTTATAAAATAAACTAGTAAAAATGTAGAGTCGAGCATGGCCGACCATATCATATCCTACAGCAGTGAGTATGTAAACAATTGGGATTAATTTTAATAATAATAAACTTAAGTAGTTTAAATTCCGACATACTTTAACAATTTGTTGACAAGGGTCAAGGGTAAATATGGACCTACCCTACTACTATGTTGGGAGAGGGATTTACGTTTAAATAAAAGTTATTTAAATAAGTATTGCCGATTTTTGTGAAGATATGTGGGGGCTATGGATCGATATCAACCATTTTCAAAAGGCAAAGGAAAATTGCGGCCTGCGGACAAGTTCTACATGGACGCATAGAAGGACGAACATAACTTAATCGACTCTGAAAGAGATTCTGAGACGATTGGTATATTGTATGACCAATATTTTTGGGTGTTACAAACATCAGCACAAACTCTTAATACTCTCCCCACTAGTGGTGTATGATATGATATAGATGTTATCTACGCCAACTCCATGCCGCAGACTATATCATAAGCACGATGGGCGAATCAAAAATAACGGTAAAAATATACCTTTAATTCAATTTTGAAAATATAATGGTTAGAATATTATAGGAGAAAAAAATCTTGTCAAGATAACAATGTGTTAATTGCTTCACACAACAATATCATCTTACATTGTTTACAATGATCATTACAGAATTACGGGCGTGAATAAAGCTGCGGGTTTCTTTCTATAAATCATTTTAATTTCAAATCTCTGAAAAAGTAAATAACTATCAACCACAATAATATCGTTAATTGCAGCACGTGAACACTTTTTATAAGGGTTCGAAAAATTCATCTAGTGAAAATCTAACAAGTATTAATCTTTTTTAATAAACATGCACATATTAAGGCATATCTCATTCTTACTTATAGAAATAAAAACAAAACAAAAAAAAAAACATAAATTATTTTAATAATCACAACAATAGTACATTGTACATTTAATTAAAACAAACAATTTAATTTAATTGAGTGAATTGGAATTTATACGAGTGCTGTTTTCAGCACTTCTACAATGTATGTATATCAAACATATGCAAACTTTTGACAACAAGCAAATGAGGAAAAAAAGAACATTTTTTTAAAAGAAGAAAAATAAGAAAAAAGTTGGTTTGTGGATTATTTTCTTAAAGCTCACAGTGGCGCCAATGCCAATTTTAAGCTAATTAAACGACCATACCAAATGGCACTCACTACAATTCAAATTGTATTTAAAAAGTATTCTAGAATCTAGATGGTCATGTCTGGTCTTTTTGCCAATTGTATACATTTCTTTTTTTATATGATTTCATTTTTAAAAATATATAACATCATTTTGCAAATATTTTCTCTAGTTTTGTTCTATTCATTTATTTTTTTTTATATTTTTCAATTTTGGCGCTTTAATGTTTTTTATATAATTTTTATTTGTTTTGTATATTGAATTATTAACGTAATTATAGCAAAACAAAATTGTTTTCTTAAGTGTGAAATATTAATTATAATTCTTCTGGCAACGGTTATTTGACATGCTTACCTCCTCCTCTTTTTCGAAATCATTTAAGTCGTCCAGATATGTGAGACCCAAACGTTTGTGCAAATTGTCGATAACTCTATTTAAACTTTGAACTTCTGTTTGCAAGTTTGAAATGCGCGTTGTATTCCATATCTACAACATAATGAAATGAGAGAAAATAATTTATTACTTAATTAATTGTCTTAAAATAAAAAGCAACAAATAATTATCAATTCTTTTGAGAATGAAAATAAAATGGTACTTGTAGCATTCTTAATAAAAAAAAATAAAATACTTATCGATAATTAAGCTTGAAATCATTTTTTTTTTTTCGTTAAATCCTATAAGAAAGATCCAACAAATTGAAACATATTGAGATTAAGATGAAAGAAATTTTCCCAAGTTCAACTGAGAGCAACAAATTATTTATAATCAAAACTGGAATTAACCGTTATGCTAAAAAAATGCTGATGATATTTTATTTTGACTATCGGTGCAAATTTGAAAATAATCTGTAATCCACGATATAATAACACGATTTAAGAATCTATAGCAAATCGGACAGAAAAGTGATATTTTCCAATTTTAATGAAATTTATTACAAATATTACTGTTTGAAATCAATGGGTTTTTGATCGTCCAGTCGAAAGTTCAGTGTTATAGTTCAATGTCAAAAATATCAATGATCGCATTGTTAAATACTAAACAAATACGATCTTATCTAAGCTGAATTTTATATACCCACAATCAAATCATATGTTGTAAAGATTATGTAAATTTCGGAACATGGACTTAGACAGTTATTATTTTTTTTTTTTTTTTGAATTCTATCACAATGATAAACTTTTGGAAAGATTTATTAACATTTTCTGTAAGAGGGTTTAAAGGGGGGTGGGCCAACTATGAACCGTGTCTCATAAAATTCAGTATTTAGGTTACGGTTCATAAAGGTATTTTTTGTAACGAATTTCATCATTACACCGACATTTTAAACACCCTTTTCTAAAAAGGACCATATATAGGGGGTGGGGTTAATTATGGATCGTTCCTCATAGAACTTAGTAGAAAGATTTCGGTAAATAGAAAACTCTTTAATGTCAAATTTTACTGGTATACTGTCATGTTAAAGTAATTTATGAACGTTAAAGTCATTTTCTAAAGGGGACCTTATATGGAGTGTGGTGTCAATTATGGACCAATCGTCATAAATTTTGGTAGATTGTTTTCGGTATTAATAAATCTTGCTTATGTCGAATTTCACCACTATACTGTCATTTTTTAGCCAGTTATTTTTAAACAGTATTCCGGGCGGACATTTGTATGGGGCCAGGTGAAAACGCGAACAGATTTTGCCATTTTCAATACCAAACAACCCAATAAGAAGTATTAATGGAAAATTTCATCCCTCTAGCTTTTTCTATTCGGACTCTATCGTGCTTTTAACAGACGGGCGGACATAGCTAGATTGTCTTAGAATCTAATGAGGATCCAGAATATACATACATATGTCGAAGTTAGATCCAAGTATCTTGGAAGTGATATTATTCCGGAAATAACATTCCTGACTAACTCTGATTGGAAAATTCTTAGAAATTACGCCCAGGAAACTGAGTTTCTGAACATTGAAAAATAATACATTCAGTGATTTTTTTTTCATGAAAAGGAGCGCACAACAGGCCCGATAGTGCCCTAGGTGTATTTCTTCAGTTTTGATGTAGTAAACATCCTCCTATCAACCTAACCCAACCTAGACTAATATTTTGATGTATTTTAAACGGAATGTGATGGAGGGGAAAAAAGAACAAGGCATGATATTAATTGTATTCCCTCAAATTGGTCATTAAATTACTGAATGGACTTTCTGTAGCTCCAAAAGTTCAAGTATAATTAGTATAGGTTAAAAAAAGTAGTATCGATATAGAATACTATACTAACAATAAAATTATCATTCTCAATACAGAAATAATTACACTTTTGATCTGAATGCAATTCTGTAACAGGCCTGATCAATTCACATTAGAAAAATATAAAAAATTAGGAAAAATAATTGGAAATTTCCGATAAAAACCTATGATCTAACTGTTTTTAATTGATTAAACATTTAGAAACGGAAGTGTAGATTTCATTTCTTAATGTTTGTAATTTAAGTGTAAAGTCAAACACACAGATACTATAGGAACTTATACATGCATGCAGTACTACTTACCGTAATGCCCAGTAATGCTGCTGTTAAAATAACTGTAATCACACTTGCGGTAATTGCAAGGAAGTAGCAACTACGACGATGATGTGATGCTGATGCACTTGAATCTGTTGTCACATAGTTTTCAGCACTTGTGGGTGTTATGAATGGTTTGAGTGTCTCGGCCGTCATGCTTCTTACTACTCGTTGTCTTGATTTAAGTTTGAATTTACTTTTTTCTCGTTTTGCTTTTAATTGACGACTTTTTTAACAAAATAAATTGTATAAAAATGCTGAATATCACTATCACTATTTATTTTGTTTAAATTGTAAGTTTTTTTTTGTAAAATATTAATCTTTGGAATTATATATGATTTTCTTTGGTTGTTTGCTTTTGTTATTGTTTATCAAGTGTTATATACTTAAGGATCTGTAACCAAAACTTTAATAATAGTTCTATTTGAGAGTTATTTTTGTAATTTTCTTAGTATGATCATTCACTTTGCCCTAGACGATGAGATAAAATAAACTGAGAAACAAAACAAATAAATGTTTGTTGCAAAAACAAGTTCTTATTTTTCGTTTTTCTTATCACACAAATAACAACAATAGCGCAAAAGGAAATCAAGTATATACTTTTATATATTTTTTGTTATTTTTTTACGATCAGTATATAAATATAAATATTTATTTTATACAAAAGTCTCTCAAAAGACAACTTGCAGGAACTCACACTGACACTCACAAACACTTGTTTATTGTGCAAAAAGATTGCAGAGAATCAGAGATCGATCGTGCAGACAGGAATATTTGTTTATCACTGAAATCTTTTTATATGTACTATATTTAAGTAATGATGATAATTATTTTTATTATTGTTTTTTATTTTTTATAATCTAAAAATACTAAAAGATTTTTTTAAAAATAAATCATAATTCTAATATTCGGTAGTATTCTCTTTAATGATCATTTAGGTTTCACAATATTAAACATACGCACATGCTACAACAAATTATTAATTATCATGATGATGATCTTCATCGACGTTGGCGATAGTGTGCCTATAGTGCTTTTGTGGTGGCGTTATCGTATCTATGGTTTGGTTGATATAATTTTAAGCATTTAAGAAGATTTAGTTAGAAAGATCGTTTCTTTAGTTCTTTTTTTCTTTTAATTATTGTTATACAATTTTCTTATGGCTGTTTTTATGAGATAGATGATGTCCGTTCATTCTTATGGCTCGCTCGCAACTGAAGTGAATTTCCTTTTGCTGCCATTATATTGTTGCTCATTGAGACGACAACTGCTGTTTCCATTGTTGTCGTTTCTTTATGTTGTTTTCTCGTTTTAGCACTAGTCCGAAACTGTTGTGTAGTGGTGGAACTATACATAAGTTCTCATTGTTTCATACTAGTACTAAGTAGCAACTTTGTGTTAAAATTAAATTCTGAATGAGTTTTGTTCGAAAGAATTTCAAAGATCTCTGTGATCATACACTTACATATACATACATATACTTAGTATACCCTACAGCTACAAGAACAACAAAACCAAGACAAATGTATAGATGGATGTGTGTATAAATATAGAGGTTGGCTAGGCAGGCCGGCATCAGGCATCATGTCGCATGGTTGGATTTTATTTATTGCTCGTTTATGCTAGTGAATCTTCATCTCCGTTTAGTGGTTTTGCTCAAAGCAAAATAAACAGTAGCAAAATTGTTGCTACTCATCATTATCATCATCATCACCATCAGACAAACTGTGAGCGACGTATGATGAGGAAAATTATGATGTTTATGTTGCTATATGTGGGCAATCTGAAAAGTAATTAAAAAAACCCTTTAATTTTGCTTTTATTTTTAATAGCGATTTTCGCTTAGAAATTCTCACAATTTTTTATAAAAATTTAATATTTTTCTGATAAATATAAGTAACCAGCGATACCATTAACAGAATTGATAACGAAAATACTTGATTTAAGTACGGTTATACGAAGTTCAAAAACCTTAATTTAAGCTCTCTTTAAGTCCTTATTTCAGAAATATGAGTAACTAGCGATATTATTCATTAACAGAATTGATAACGATAGTACTTGATTCAAACACGGATCTATTAAGTTCAAAAACCTTAATATAAGGTCTATTTAAGCCCTAATGGAATTAAAGTTATTTCAGAAAGTTAAGGGTGGTCCAATTACTAGTATCTAGTGAATTATTTTTATTGAGGTAGATCCTTAATTAATGTGAGCTTTCGCAATACCGAAATTTCTTGCAAATACTTTAGTCAATATTTTTGTTATAGAGCGTAACATTTTAATCTATATTTTAATATATTTATGTTAACGAATTATCTGATGCTAATACTGCTCCTGTATCAGTTACAATTTTAAACCAAAGATACTGCTTGCATAAAAATTGTTATTTTTAAATACTTTAATATTTTCTTTTTATTTATATTTAATAACATTCAAAAATAGAATTGAGAGAATCTTTAAAGTCTGAATAATTAAATTAACAATAATCATATAAGACAGACTACAAAAATTAACAAAAAATATATATAAAAATCATTTTGTGATAATGTACATACATATGTATGTCTCTGTTTATTTCTTTGTTTCTGTTTTTTTTTCAATTATTTTCGAAAATCAAAATTCCAAAAGAAACTTTGTCGCAATTAATGTGAAAAACATTTGTCTTTGACAACATTCAATTGATAACAGCGTTTCTGTTTTGAAATTATCTCTGTAAAAAAAATCCATAAACCTATTTTAAAGCTTTAAATAATACTCCTGCTGCACATTAAAAAAACACAAAAAAACCCTAGAGATAAACTATATAAAATTTGTAGAAAATAAGCATTTTTTAAAATTTAGTTTAATTGAACCATTGAACTTGAGTACATTAAATAGTCGGTATGTTAAGTTAACTTTGAAGTTTGACACAAGGAAATTATTTACTAAAAGCTTGGTTACACGGTTACACTTTACGATCCAATATAAGGCAATCATTAGTATCTTACTTAAATATGTAGACCTTCTTATTTGTGACCGATTTTTAATGGTAGTTAAAAAATTTGATAACATATATTTGGTTTCATTGACATTTTAAATAAAATTGTTAAAGCTAAAATACATTTTGTTGATCGGGGAATATATATTGTGTATTATATAAATCAAGCTTAATTTTTCCAGAAAGTTGAAAATGAGTTCGGCTTATTATCACATTGAATATACTATGTATATGATGTCATTTGTCGTATTACTGTGATGAATTGAATCAAATGTACACATACATTTTAAACTATACATAATTTAATAATAATTGAATTAAAATACTGATTAAAAAATTATGAAATTCTTAGAACTTTAAACATACATACAAGCATACATATTCATATATGAAAATCATTAGTTTTGTCTTTAACTATAAATTAAATTCAAAACCGTCGATGAATCAAATATTATTATAAACTTTTAAAAGTTTTTTTTTTTTTAAATACAAATACTTATGTATTATTTTGAATGGATATGATTAGAAAAATATGGTGACAAATTGTCTGGTATTATAATATATATTGTTATCGGTTAATACACTTTAAAAATTATTTACAAGAACTTTTGCATGGCTTCCAATGGTATAGTTTTTTTCATTCTTACAGATCTAAACTTTTAAAATTATTTGTGCCTTACAGAAACCTTTATCCAGAATATGTATATATGTAGTAGAGTATATAGCTCAAAATATAGCAGAGTCCGTAGTCCAGTCTATAGCCCAAGTCTATAGTCCAGACTATAGCTGAGCCTATAGCTGAGTCTATAGTCCAGACTATAGCCGAGTCCAGACTATAGCCGAGTCTATAGTCCAGACTATAGCCGAGTCTATAGTCCAGACTATAGCCGAGTCTATAGTCCAGACTATAGCCGAGTCTATAGTCCAGACTATAGCCGAGTTTATAGTCCAGACTATAGCCGTGTCTATAGTGCGGACTATAGCCTAATCTATAGTCCAGACTATAGGCTAATCTATACTCCAGACTAGACTAATCTATACTCCAGACTATAGACTAATCTATAGTCCAGACTATAGGCTAATCTATAGGCCAGACTATAGGCTAATCTATAGTCCAGACTATAGCCAATTCTAGTCCAGACTATAGCCAGAGTATAATCCAGACTATACCCAAGTTTATAATCCAGATTATAGCGAAATCTATAGTCGAGACTATAGCAGAGTCTATAGTACAGACCATAGCAGAGTCTATAGTCCAAACTGTGGCAGAATATTGTCCAGATTACAGCCAAGTCTAAAGTCCTTATTATGTCCGAGTTTAAAATGCAGACTATGCTAAGTCTATAGTTCAAACCGTAGCAGAGTCTATAGTCCAGATCAAAGCAGAGTCTATAGTCGATACTATTAGTCTAAACCACCGAATCTATAGATCAGATTATAGCAGAGTCTATAATACAGATTGTAGCATATTATATAATCCAGGTTATAGCAAGTCTATAGTCCAGAGTCGGAGAAATCGTGGACTGATAATGCCCATTTTAAATACCAAGCCTTATCAAAATGACAGACGGATATACCAAGATCTTCGTGTCAAGAAGCACCTTGAGAATATATACTTTTGTGAGTTTTCGGCGAATATTTCGATTTGATGTAAACGGAGTTACAAAATCATATTGATGAGTATAAAAATTGAAAATGTTTCTAATTCATTTCAGTGTATTATAAACTTTTTCCAACTTTCATAAACACACTCGGCATTGTAAATGTAAATCTAGAATAAATAAAATGCAGTTGTTTTGAATGTCTCAAATTTCATATAAACATTTAGTTTATTTTAATCTTTTGTTACAATTTCTTTGTAAATCAATGCATTTCAGCTAATTGCCCTCTTTGACTATTATAAGCAGGGACGTTCAAATAGATTTCGGTTAGTAATTATCAGCTATATTATGTTCATTCCATACACACATTTCGATCACAATATGTATGAATGTATTTATGTTTATCTTACGAATACCAGAGTACTAAATAGTCTTATCCATAGCAAATACATTCATGTCATTAGACTAGACTTTATGCGTAATTAGTTTGGTATTTTGTTTAAAACTCGCTCCCATTCATACATTTAACACTTAATTGATGTATCTGTGTGTACGTGCGGATATACAATTTTTCCTTTGGGTAATTTTCAATTTATTTTTTGGCGACAGGTAGATTTTAGTTTTTTGCCTTTAGACTCATAGTCATATTTCCAAAAAATCGCACCTTAAATTAATGTAGGTGCATGTAAGAGATTTTCCCAAATGTAAACATATTGATTTTTTCATTCATAAAAGTCCTAATATCCGATCTTCAATAACAAATAAAGAGAGAGCTAATTTTTCCTTACTCAAAATAACATGTATATGATATTGCTTCGGGTTTTTCTAAAAAATATAGTCACATATTCATCATCTCCTTTTATAAAATATACAATATACATTCATATTGTATGTTAAAACCTTACAAATGCTCATTATATGCCTTATATAACTATAATGAAATACCTCATAACACTTTTTAATATTTGTTTCAATCGTAACCGTAACGAAGTAATTCACAGTGATAAATTAAATTTAAAAAAAATTTAAAGTGATGGCGGTTTTTGAACACCTTTCTATCTAAAAATATCGTTTCTTAGTGATCACAGATCAAGCTTATTTTCTTAAAAAGCTGTTATTTATTAAGTTATAAGTAATTTTAGTTTTCTCCTCTTATACATACAAAAAAAAAAACAAGATTATTTTCTCAAAAAACCGTTATTTACAAAATTATACGCGATTAAAATTTTATTACTTTTTCATGAAAACAAATTGAAAGTGATGAAGGATTATGCTCATTTTCTCCAAATTAAATATTTACAAAGAAATAAACGATTTTAGTTTTGCAATCAATTTCATAAAAAATATCGATTTTTGAAGTGATTACAGATTAAGCTTATTTCCTTTAAAAACGCAGTATTTGCGAAGTTACGAGCGATTTTAGTTTTATAATCAATTTCATACAAAATATAGATTTTTGAAGTGATCACAGATTAAGCTTATTTTCTTTAAAAACGCAGTATTTAAGAAGTTACAAGCGATTTTAGTTTTGCAATCAATTTCATACAAAATATCGATTTTTGAAGTGATCACAGATTAAGCTTATTTTCTTTAAAAACGCAGTATTTACGAAGTTACAAGCAATTTTAGTTTCGGAAACAATTTCATACAAAATATAGATTTTTGAAAAATTTGGAAGTGATCACAGATTAAGCTTATTTTCTTTAAAAACGCAGTATTTAAGAAGTTACAAGCGATTTCAGTTTTGCAATCAATTTCATACAAAATATCGATTTTTGAAGTGATCCCAGATTAAGCTTATTTTCTTTAAAAACGCAGTATTTACGAAGTTACAAGCGATTTTAGTTTTGCAATCAATTTCATACAAAATATCGATTTTTGAAGTGATCACAGATTAAGCTTATTTTCTTTAAAAACGCAGTATTTAAGAAGTTACAAGCGATTTTAGTTTTGCAATCAATTTCATACAAAATATCGATTTTTGAAGTGATCACAGATTAAGCTTATTTTCTTTAAAAACGCAGTATTTACGAAGTTACAAGCGATTTTAGTTTTTCAATCAATTTCATACAAAATATCGATTTTTGAAGTGATCACAGATTAAGCTTATTTTCTTTAAAAACGCAGTATTTAAGAAGTTACAAGCAATTTTAGTTTCGCAATCAATTTCATAAAAAATATCGATTTTTGAAAAATTTGGAAGTGATCACAGATTAAGCTTATTTTCTTTAAAAACGCAGTATTTACGAAGTTACAAGCAATTTTAGTTTTGTAATCAATTTCATACAAAACATCTATTTTTGAGGTGATCACAGATTAAGCTTATTTTCTTTAAAAAAAATATCGATTTTTGAAGTGATCACAGATTAAGCTTATTTTCTTTAAAAACGCAGTATTTACGAAGTTACAAGCAATTTTAGTTTCGCAAACAATTTCATACAAAATATAGATTTTTGAAAAATTTGGAAGTGATGACAGATTAAGCTTATTTTCTTTAAAAACGCACTATTTAAGAAGTTACAAGCGATTTTAGTTTTGCAATCAATTTCATACAAAATATCGATTTTTGAAGTGATCACAGATTAAGCTTATTTTCTTTAAAAACGCAGTATTTACGAAGTTACAAGCGATTTTAGTTTTGCAATCAATTTCATACAAAATATCAATTTTTGAAGTGATCACAGATTAAGCTTATTTTCTTTAAAAACGCAGTATTTAAGAAGTTACAAGCGATTTTAGTTTTGCAATCAATTTCATACAAAATATCGATTTTTGAAGTGATCACAGATTAAGCTTATTTTCTTTAAAAACGCAGTATTTACGAAGTTACAAGCGATTTTAGTTTTGCAATCAATTTCATACAAAATATCGATTTTTGAAGTGATCACAGATTAAGCTTATTTTCTTTAAAAACGCAGTATTTACGAAGTTACAAGCGATTTTAGTTTTGCAATCAATTTCATACAAAATATCGATTTTTGAAGTGATCACAGATTAAGCTTATTTTCTTTAAAAACGCAGTATTTACGAAGTTACAAGCGATTTTAGTTTTGCAATCAATTTCATACAAAATATCGATTTTTGAAGTGATCACAGATTAAGCTTATTTTCTTTAAAAACGCAGTATTTACGAAGTTACAAGCAATTTTAGTTTCGCAAACAATTTCATACAAAATATCGATTTTTGAAGTGATCACAGATTAAGCTTATTTTCTTTAAAAACGCAGTATTTACGAAGTTACAAGCGATTTTAGTTTTGCAATGAATTTCATACAAAACATCTATTTTTGAAGTGATCACAGATTAAGCTTATTTTCTTTAAAAACGCAGTATTTACGAAGTTACAAGCGATTTTAGTTTTGTAATCAATTTCATACAAAATATCGATTTTTGAAGTGATCACAGATTAAGCTTATTTTCTTTAAAAACGCAGTATTTACGAAGTTACATGCGATTTTAATTTTGTAATCAATTTCATACAAAACATCTATTTTTGAAGTGATCACAGATTAAGCTTATTTTCTTTAAAAGCGCAGTATTTACGAAGATACAAGCGATTTTAGTTTTGCAATCAATTTCATACAAAATATCGATTTTTGAAGTGATCACAGATTAAGCTTATTTTCTTTAAAAACGCAGTATTTACGAAGTTACAAGCGATTTTAGTTTTGCAATCAATTTCATACAAAATATCGATTTTTGAAGTGATCACAGATAAAGCTTATTTTCTTTAAAAACGCAGTAATTACGAAGTTACAAGCGATTTTAGTTTTGCAATGAATTTCATACAAAACATCTATTTTTGTGATCACAGATTAAGCTTATTTTCTTTAAAAACGCAATATTTAAGAAGTTACAAGCGATTTTAGTTTTGCAACCAATTTCATACAAAATATCGATTTTTGAAGTGATCACAGATTATTTTCTTTAAAAACGCAGTATTTACGAAGTTACAAGCGATTTTAGTTTTGTAATCAATTTCATACAAAACATCTATTTTTGAAGTGATCACAGATTAAGCTTATTTTCTTTAAAAAAAATATCGATTTTTGAAGTGATCACAGATTAAGCTTATTTTCTTTAAAAACGCAGTATTTAAGAAGTTACAAGCGATTTTAGTTTTGCAATCAATTTCATACAAAATATCGATTTTTGAAGTGATCACAGATTAAGCTTATTTTCTTTATAAACGCAGTATTTACGAAGTTACAAGCGATTTTAGTTTTGTAATCAATTTCATACAAAATATCGATTTTTGAAAAATTTGGAAGTGATCACAAATTAAGCTTATTTTCTTTAAAAACGCAGTATTTACGAAGTTACAAGCGATTTTAGTTTTGTAATCAATTTCATTCAAAATATCGGTTTTTGAAAAATTTGGAAGTGATCACAGATTTCATACAGAATATCTATTTTTGAAGTGATCTTAAAAAACGCAGCATTTACGAAGTTATAAGCGATTTTAGTTTTATAATCATTTTTATATAAAATATCGATTTTTGAAAAATTTGGAAGTGATCACAGATTAAGCTTATTTTCTTTAAAAACGCAGCATTTACGAAGTTATAAGCGATTTTAGTTTTATAATCAATTTTATACAAAATATCGATTTTTGAAAAATTTGGAAGTGATCACAGATTAAGCTTATTTTCTTTAAAAACGCAGCATTTACGAAGTTATAAGCGATTTTAGTTTTATAATCAATTTTATACAAAATATCGATTTTTGAAAAATTTGGAAGTGATCACAGATTAAGCTTATTTTCTTTAAAAACGCAGTATTTACGAAGTTACAAGCGATTTTAGTTTTGCAATCAATTTTATACAAAATATCGATTTTTGAAAAAATTGGGTATGATCACGGATTGATCTTATTTCCTCATTAAACCCGTTATTTACAAATGATAAGCGAATTTAGTTTTGACCACTCTTAAAGTGAAAAATAACAATGTCTGGTAAAAACCTGCAAACATGACAATTTTAAAATTTTCTTGTTTCATTGATCCTATTTTTATAAATTGTTGTCCTGATGATGGATTAAATTGTTTTTAACTACAAAGTAGATTCAAATACATATGTATTTAAATGTTAATACTTTATTATTCACAATAATGAGTATTCGATTGGCCTTCAAAAAAAATATGGCAGCCCCTTTTCACCATATGTTGTATTTTTGACATGTCATTTGACCGACTCAATTTTTCACTGAGTGTGGCATCATTCTCCGGTTATTTTTTAATTAGTTGGCAGAAAAAATGAGGGTACTTGGGAATATATTTTTAGTTTTATTAATTAAATTATTAAGTTTAATTGGAAATGTAGAATTAAATGAAGTAATAGGATGTGGTGGTTTCATTAAAAGCCACGCCGATATAGATTTCTCCAAAGTAGAAGTGAAACTGTAAGTATTTCAACAAGAAAGAAAAGGGCATATGATTTGTCCGCTTTTTCTGTAATAAAGGTAAACCTTAGATAAGACAGAAAAAGCAAAATACCTCAATGTTAAAAGGTGTGAAAGCATGAGACAATAACCTAGATTTAGCTACTTTATCTGGAAGAACAATTTTATAATCTAACATTTATTTTAGATTAACAAAGCAGGGAGCTTTGAAAGATAAAACCGATTGTTCACCCTCAAATGGTTATTATTTCCTGCCTATCTATGATAAGGGCGAATATTTGTTAAAGATTTCCCCTCCTCCCGGTTGGAGTTTTGAGCCTGAAGAAGTGAAATTAAATTTCAACGGTCAAACTGACATTTGCAGTTTGGGCAAAGATGTTAATTTTGTTTTCAAAGGTTTTGGTATTACCGGTAAAGTGGCTTTAGGAAGCGGTGGTGCAAAGGGTGTTAAAGTTGAATTGAAATCTGAAGATGGCAAAGATGTTAGAGAAACAACTACGGATGTTAATGGTATATTTTCATTTACTCCCATTATACCCGGAAAATATCTTGTTAAAGCTACTCATGACCAATGGTATTTCGAAAAGGCTGAATATACCGTTGTAGTCGAGGGTGGTAATACTGTTTTACCCGAAAACTCCTTAGTTGTTTCTGGATTTGATGTTACTGGCCGTTTCGAAACATCCGGACAATTAAATTCTGGAGTAGGCATAGCATTGTTTGAAAGTAAATCGGTAAGTGAAGAAAGTCGGTTAAAACTTTATTTTTTTTTTAATTGTTTACTTTTTAAGAATTCCTCGCCTTTGAGATGCAGCAAAAAAGAACTTAAAAACTCTGTAACCAATACTGTAGCCAACTACAAAGATTCACCTGCTTGTTATGCTCTTGTAGACAAAAATGGAGATTATATATTTAAAGATGTAGCTCCTGGAAAGTATTTGTTACAACCAGTCATTGAGGATGTCAATTTAAAGTTGAACCTTAAACCCTCCTATGTTGAATTTGAAGTAACCAAAGATACTTTAGATTTAAAACAAGAATTTAAGGTAAAGTTGTTGATATTAATTATAAAATACATACAAGAGGGTTAATATTTTTTTCTTTGTTTATTTCACACAAAAAGATAACTGGTTTTAGTGTTAATGGACAAGTATTAGACGGACCACAAGGTTCTCCAATTTCTAAAGCTATTGTAAAATTAAATGGACAAAAAGAAGTGGTTACCGATAATAAAGGCTTCTTCGTACTAGACAGTGTTAATGCCGGCACGTACACTTTACAAGTACAAGCTGACAAATATGAATTTGCTGAACAACGCGTTAAATTACAACTAACTGTACCCTCTTTACCAGCTACAGTACCCTCAGCATATGAAGTCTGTGGTAAAGTAGTGGCCAAAAAATCCTATAAAGTTGGCATTACTAAACAGGGTTCCACATTTCACACAACCGCCAATACCGATGCCGAATCTGGAGTATGGTGTGCTTATTTACCCAGTGGCAAATTTAGCATTGAAGTTTTGACCACAGATAGCGATAAGTCAAATGGTGTACAATTTTTCCCCGTACAACAAACGATTGAAGTGATCTCTCAGCCTTTAAAGGATATAGTTTTTTCACAACTCAGAGCCACCTTACAAGGCAAATTGCGTTGTTTGCCAGATGCCCCGTTAGCTGCTTGTTTGAAGACTGAAGTTACTTTACACAACTTGGATGCCAATGGTCAATTAACTGGTCAAAAGCAAACAACTACAGCTGAAGGTAATTAAAGAATTGTATAAAATATTAAACAATTTAAAATATTTTTTTAACGTTTAGATGGAAAGTACAGCTTTAAAAATGTTTTGCCCGGGCCTTACGAAATCACTGTACCACAATCTAATTTATGTTTCGATTCTACACGCGTACTTATTAATGTGGCTTCTGCTTCTGAAACCGCTCCTGATTTTGTACAACACGGTTATGAAGTCAACATTATATCCAGTCATAGGGCTATAGTAAGTACTAATAAAATTTAATACAAAAATGTTGCTTAAACATATTTTATTGTTTATTATAGATGAAATACTCCCATAGCTCTGCTAGTAGCTCGGACTCATTTAAACTACTTTCTGGAGTTAATACCTTCTGTGTACCAAAATTCGGTTCTTACAAGATTAAATTAGAAGGCTGTCATTTGTATAACGATAATGAATTACCCTCAACTTTCGATACTTCAAATACTAATCCCATTATTATTAATGCCAAAGCCCATAAAGTGGGAGTACGTGTTTTATCACCCGATTCTAGTGTCGACTCTTTGCAGCTAACAGTTGAGTCAACAACTTTGGGCAAACAAGTTGTTAAACCTATTGCGGAATCCCATAAAGTAGATGGCAAATATGCTTATCGTTTTGAGACCCACTTGAAGCCTGAAGAAGTTTTACGCATTACCCCCAAAAGTGATATTTTACTATTCGAACCAACAACCAAGGAAATTGTTGGTACCAATGATTGTGTTGATGTTGCATTTAATTTCATCGCCTCAGAAGGTTTGATTTTGCGCGGCAAGGTTGTTCCTGCCATTAAAGATGCCAAGATCACTTTATCTTTTCCCAAAAATCCTGAATTAACATCTGAGACTAGCTTAACTTCGGCTAGTGGTGAATTTAAATTCGGTCCTATTAAAGATAGTTTGTATTACGAACTTAAAGGCGAAAAAGAATCCTATGTATTCTCCGACTATAATCCCTCAACTAATTCCTTTAGTGTCCACAAATTGTGCGAAATTATTGTTAAGGTTGTCGATGAATCGAACAAAGGTTTAGCTGGTGTTTTGGTCTCATTGAGTGGTTCAGAAAGTTATCGCAAAAATTTAATCACTTCTGATGATGGCTCCATTAACTTCCATTCCTTGTCGCCTTCACAATACTTCTTAAGGCCCATGTTGAAAGAATTTAAATTTGAACCAAATTCTAAAATGATTGACTTGAAGGATGGTGAAACAGTTGAAATCAAAATGATGTAAGTTAAAAATTGTATTTTTTGTACAATATAAAGACACCTTTATGTTTTATTTCAGTGGCAAACGTGTGGCTTATTCTGCCTTTGGTACTGTTACTTCTCTAAACGGCGAACCTTTTGCTCAGGTCAATATTGAAGCTACAGCAAGTGAAAAATGTTCACATCACCAAGAGGAGGCCACCACAGAAAATAATGGCAAATATCGTTTGAGAGGCTTAAATCCTGGTTGTGACTACACCATACGCGTCAAGGATGCTGGAGTTGCTGGAAATAATGTTGATCGTTCCATACCAGTACAACGCGTTGTGGAAATTGCCAATGAAGATGTACAAAATGTTAATTTCTTGGCCATTTCTCCTATCAATTTTGTCGATGTTACTGTCCGTGTTACTGCTGCTTCTAATGATTTCTACAAAACTTTACGTTTGGTTATGTACCGCAAGGGTTCCTATGATTCTCCTATTTATTCACAGCGCTTGGAAACACCACTCAATCCCAAAGCACGTTACAATCCAGGCATTATGGTATTTTTGCCCCGCATACCTTTGGATGGCAAAACCTACATTGTGGAATTGAGATCATCGCTCTCGGACAAAACCTATACATACACTGTACCCACCCAACAGTTTGTGGCTGATACCGGTTCTGTTTTTGTTGAATTAGACTTTACACCCGAAGTAAAATCTTACGAAACCGATCTTAATCAAAATTCCATCTCCGCCTTGATACTGGTGGCTTTAGTTTCCATAGCATTTTTCAAACAAGACATAGCTGTGGGTTTTCTAGATTTTGTTTGGACGAAAATCAGTGCAATTGCCGACGATTTCGCACAAAAACAGAAAAATCAAGCTAAAAACAATGTCCGTAAAGTAGAACCAATTAATCAAAAAGAAATCGAACAAATGGCCGAGCAAATAAATAACATCAAAAAGAAGAAGACTAAAAAAATCTAAAGAAAATAAAAATTTAACTTAAAATCTCTTGATATTCGAGAGATTTGAAAACGAGAGTAAATAATTGTTAATTAAGAAGATTTCAAGGATTTTTTTTAAGATTTATTTAATAAAAAAAAAAACATTTCTGTCTTGTGGGTATTTTTTAACAATATTTAGAACATTAAAAATTAATTTAAAATAAATAAATAAATAGAAAAATATTTAAACATACTTTATGTATGTTTAATTTAATAAAAATACACAGTATTCAACTTCATTTGTTTAAGGATTATACCTAGAAATTAGTTAAGATTTTGTAAAAACTTAAGTATGGCAGGATCATCATTTTCCAAGGCTCTGTAATGTCTGTTATAAGATTTTAAAATATTAGAGTAATGTTTTAGTAATTTCCATTGCACTCTTACCCATAATGTATGTGACCCCCACTGGGACAATCTCGATAAAATTTACCCAAATATTGTATGGCCCATATAAAAGCGGTACCCACAAAGAATGCCACAACAATTAGCTTCACTTTTATCCAATAAATCCAAGACAAAGCATGCCAGCCATGATAGGGATCTAAAAGTAAAATTTGGGCATTTTGTAATTATGTGTAAAACTTGAATTTGTTTCTATTCTGTAATATTTTGCTTGTATGATGAAGTTCAAATTAAATACAAAATTTTAATGTTTAATTTTAGTTGCACGAATTTGTTTGTGTAAATATTGAAAGTGAAAAGTGTTAATAAATACTGATTGAAATTTTCATAAACAAATCGTCATCGTGATGGTGTAATTTATAGATGTTACTGTTAAAGTACTCTAATTATTACACAATTATACAAATAGAAATTTAAATAATTTTTATATACATATTTTGAAAGCATGAAAAAGAGCAGAAAATTTACTATCATTTAATTTACTGACGTTTTCAAAACTCAGAATTTGAATAAGCAAATGGAACGAAAAATCACTACAGAATTGAAAACATTCCAATCAAAATCAATAACAGAATAAGATTCTTAAGATTTACCCTGTAACCTGCAAAACAGTAACTGTCCTAAAGTGTTCTTCGAAAATAAATCGTAAATTTTCGCGAAATCTATTTGGTGATTAACGGGATTACAATTAATTGTTTAAAAAGTTACTCACGTATGAAATAGTATCCTGTTTTACGTCGTCGACTTTCTACCTCTTGGACACTACTGCTCTCAAAGTCTGTAGAATTTTCAGCAAAATTATTTTTTGCTATAGAACCATAAACACAAATTACACAAATGCTTAGAAGTAAAAAAATTACTAAACTCTTCATAGTTTGTTATTATTTAGAAATTTATAATTATGTTAACACTGCACTTTATCGCAAACTCGAAATGCTATCATAACAAAGATTTTTCAACGATTAACTATTTATGATACTATAACATGGCAGTTTTATAACTTTTGCCACAAAAAAGGTGTTAATTGAATAAACATTTACATTTAACAATGGTCAACGGCTTAAAAACAGCAAGAAAGTTATTTGGCATAAAAAAAGTTGAAACAAAATTTTATTTTCCAATTTTTCAAAGTTGAATTCACCAGTACCAGTGATTACTGCAGATTTCCTCCATACCTCAAAATATGTTTTACTTTATATAAAAATTAAATGTTTATGAAATACCGTGTAGTATATAGCTAAGGAAGTCCTTGCTTTAAACGTAAATAAACAATAATAAACATTTAATTTATAATTTCTTACAAATTAAATTTAAATTAACTCTCATAACGGTTTTATTTAACTCATACTTTAAAAAATCTGGCAACTTCTATTTCTTGCATTCTTAGCGTTTTATCTGAAAATCGCCACAGCAACATTATTGTTTATTTTCGATAACTGTATATTTGTCACCTCTAAAAAAAATGATTCTAAAAAAACTTTTGTGAAATATTTTTTTTTCGAAGAAAAAATCCCAAATTTGCACCTGTACAAATAGTAAATGGCAGCTTAATAATAATGAATAATTATAGATTTTGTGATTACTATTTATTTGCTATAATAATAAATTCTTGTTGTTTACTAAGCTATGGCTACAGACACAGTAAGTTTCCATCGTGAAATGTAAACTAAAAAAAAAAAACTTGTTTTTAATGCGTATATGCACTTTCCATTTGCCTTGTTTGCAGTACGACTGGAAGATAATTTGTGTGCAGATCGTTTTCTGGTTAAACTTTTCAAGGATCCCTCCATGACATTGAGAGAAGATCGTGATTCAGCTGCTATTATAACACAAGTATGGAACACCACCATGCCAGGATCTTACTCTTCCAATAAGATACGCTACGATTGTGAATTCAAAGTGCATAGTGATGAGCCAAATCGACCACCCCGTGGCATATATACCGTAATAACACGTTTGAAATTTCGTCATGATCCTGTGAAAAACAAATGCCTGGATTATATACAGTTTCGTAACGGCAATCGTTCACCTAGTGAGCCTATTTGCAATGACATCTCCATAGATGGACCAGCGGGACGTTTGATATTCGATCAGCGTAATCGAGATGTAAGCGTTCTTATACACATTGATAAAAAGCGTATGATTACGGAGCCACTGGAGTTGCGTATGGTGTTGACCGCTCATTCGGAATGTAAATATACGGGAGATTTCCTGTGTGAACCTACAAATCCATATACATGTATATCACGTTATTTTGTACGTGACAACGTTACCAACTGTATGTATCCCTGTCGCGATGAGGTATCCTGTTTTCATGATGCCATTACTTTGGAAGAGATTGATACAACAAATGTAGCCATATCGGCCATAACATCGCTGATATTCACCATGTTAGGTGTAGGGTTTTGCATTTGGATCTGTTGGAAGTATTGGAATTGTATAACTGTGCAACAGCATGCCCACGAAGCTTCAGCTGTAACAAATCGTCAACGTCGCCAGCGTTCCCAGCAGCATAGAAGTAGTGGGCAAAGGGTAAGTTTAATATTTTCTGTCAACCTATTATCGATCACTTTGGGGAAATCACAAGTACTGTGAACATGAATTTTAAAAATTAATTTTTTCTTGAAACAAACATTTTTCTTGGGATTTTGTTAATTATAAAATTTAGGGGGGAAGAAATCTCTGTTCTAGTTATAAGAAAACTAAACAAGTAAGAAAGTATAGTCGGGCGTGGCCGACCATATGATACCCTACACCAGTTATGAATATAAAATGTGATTTATTTTTCATAATAAAGCATTTATCTTCAATATTCGCTTGTTCCGATACATTTAAGCAATTTTTGGATGAAAAACTAATTTTCTGAAAGAGGCTTTATATGGGGGCTAGGGGCAAATATGGACCAAGCCCGATAAAATGTTGTGAATATATTTATATTTACATAATATTTTATTGTGCTGAATTTCACCGCGATATTTTTGTGTTTATAAGTTAATTTGGGACATTCAAGTAATTTTCTGAAGGGGACTTTGTATGGGAGCTAGGGTCAAATGGGGCCCGATCTTTATGAAATTTGGCAGGGTCATCAAGACTTCTATAAAACTTAGTTGTGTCGTATTTTATCGATATATCTTTATATTTAACATAATTATGAGCTCAGAAGCCCTTTTCGGGGGGTTCTGTTCTATGGGGGCTAGGTGAAATAATGGATTTTAACCATTTTCAGTAGGCTTCGTCCATGCGGTCAAATAAAACATGCGTGCCAAATTTCATCCAATTATCTTGAAAATTGCGACCTGTAGCTTGCGCACAAGGTGTAGGGTATAAAAACATATTTTTATCAAACTTCTGGATAAAGTTACAGTTATTTTTTAAAATTTTAATATTTATGATATTTTTTAGGATGTTCCCGTAATAGAATTACCTACGGCACCAACATTCAATAGTGTTACAACAGCTCCTGTTCATAGTCTAGAAATGAATCATCAACAAACGGGCGTAGAAACGCCTAAAGATCTACCGCCCAGTTATGAATCATTGTTTCCCGATAGATAAATTTCAGTTACTTTCAAAAGCAACGAATTTACATTTACATAAAATGTGTTCAAATTCTAAACACAAAAACAACAACTTCTGCAACTACTACTTCTACAAATGAAGAGTAATAAAAGTCACTTACATCTATTTAGAATACATACAAACCCAACTAGTAAAGAAATTTCAAATAACGCACACAAACATTATCTTCCGTTAAAAATGCCAGGTGCAAACAAAAACTAATTTTATTAAAAATAGATGGAGAAAAAACAAATGCAATTATTAACAAGTCAAATTATTTATTAAGCAGCCCTTTAAAACTACTCAATCAATTACTAAATGTACATATTAAAAGCAGAAGAAAAAAACTTTTAGTAGAATCTCATATAACTAAAAAATATATATATAAAAGACACATACAAAAGTCCGGCAAAATTCAACATTGTTTTGCCACAATAAAACTACAATCTCAATAAACTCGAAATAATTAAATGTGTATGTTATAGTTATCTAAATTAAATTTAAGTTATATGTAAATATGTCTAAACTATATACTATAAATATTTGTTTGTAGTTTGTCCAAGAAAAGAAAACAAAATTAAAATAAAAATATGTATTAAAAATTTGTTATTGATCAATTCATATGTGTCCAAATGTGGTTCAAATTGTTTCCATACTTTTTATGTCGTTTTAACCAAAAGTGTAGACCTGAAACAAAAATCAATTACAATTAGTTGTTAGTTAAACAAAATTATATAAAAATTATAAAAGAAAAACATTATTAAAACAAATGCATAAAACTAAATTTTAATATTTTTCTTTATTTATAAGATCATCATAGTTTTAATTATATTTTATAATATGGAAAAATTGCTACTTTAAAAAAAAAAACCCTCCAGATTAGATTTTATTTAAACTATTTTTGGTTTTTCAGTATCTACCGTTTAATTAAGCATTCTTAAATCAAATAATTTGTATTTACTGTCAATGGCATTTTAATTAAAGCAATATCCTTGTAATCTATTATTCCATTTATGTTTTTAGTTATACTTTTTATTTGTTTATTTTTTTAAGATTTTTATTGTTTTATTTTTTATAACATTTATTGAATTCCATTATTTTCGTTTTTTTAATTAATTATGCTAACACTCCATAGTATTTAAATAAAAATTTAACCAAAAATAACGAACATTTTCGCATTTTTTATTTAAAAAGTTTGAATATGTATGAATTGAAGAATACGATACGAGAAACGTAAAGTATTGAAACGAAATAGAACATATTGGGAAATGCTTGACTATACTATATCTGATGATTAGTTTGCTATGTTGATGCAAATAATAAATTGATTTTCATTTTATACATAGAATTTAACTTTCGTATAAAAACGCGTTAAGGGAAATAAACTTCATGAAATAAATTTAAATCTAAATACCTACTCATTTTTCGCATCAGCCTCATAATTTCTGTAATGCATTTACGAACTTACTGCGCATCAGATGCAGCGCAGTGATGCATTTCCGAAATGCCCCAAAATTGCTTATTTTTCTTACATTTATTACTCGAATACGTAATCAAAATACAAAATAGAAGTAAATACCAGCTCGTAAAGTTGTTTTGCAATATTGGGGTCGAATATAGTCAAATATATGTATATGACAAACTTTCCACAATGTTTTATATATCATCAACATATCATCGTCAGTTTAACTCAGTCATCGCTTAGCAACAATATTTCAAATGCAACATCTTATTTTTGTTAAATAATGCACTTTTACATAATTTCTTTTAAAAGAGACATCGTTGAAAGCTTTATTTGTGATAAGAACTTTATTTTTGTTTGAATAATATTCAATTTATTTAATATAATAATGTACAATAATAATATTTTTGTTTTGTAAGATTCACAGCAATAATAATAATAGTTATAGTATGATAGCAATATCTTAAATAATTACAGTTTTGTTTTTCTTTTTAATTTAATTGTTTTTTTTATTAATAAATTTTAAATTTCTTTGTTCCTTCTTTAAATCAATGTTAATTTATATATTATTTATGCTGATCTTGTTTATTGAAACGTTTTAATTAATAAGCTGCTGTGAAAAAAATGATAATCGTATCAGTTGTTTTTAAGCAGCTAAAGATTTGGAACAATTAACGACAAAAAAAAACAACATAAAAACATTATGAGTAATTTCTGTTGTTGTCCATAGGCCACAGATAAACATCGAGTTTTTAGACATAAAATGGAAGATGACTGGTCTCCGGTTTAGAATTAACAATTGCACCACGATTCAAAGAAGACGTCACGTTATGGACACAAGACGTGGATGACAACGATAACGATGATGACGAGGAAAAGGCATGTTTCGATAGTGACATTAATGGCGAAGAAGACGACAACAGCGGAGACGTAGTTAATTTAAAACTAGTAAAAGAGGAGCCCGTTACAAAACGGCGTTTTGTAGAAAAATGACAATTAGAAGTTGTTGGTGTATTAAACTCATTGTTGTTTGGCGTTGAGAGTAGTATCGTGTCCTGCACCAAAGCTACTCCATTGGTTAAATGGGAGTACGACTCTTTTCACCTGGGTGTAGTACTAGTGGGCATTTTTTCCAAAAAGTCTTTGGATAATATATCCTCAATTTCTTGCAAACAATTGTTGATTTCAGTATCAACATCGGCATGATTATGAGGATTAGGACAGGCCACACTCAGGGTAGAAAAGAAACCGTAAAGATCTTGCAATGAATTTATTTGCTGACAAGTAAGCATTAAATGTTTGCCTCGCTTGAAGTTTAAGGTCTGCAAAAAATATTAACAATATTATAAATATTTAAAAGAAACAAGTAATATTCTTAATACTTACTGGAGAATGTACAGCATACTTCATATCCATTAATCTAGCTATACGCCTAATATGGGGTACGTATAACGCCGGCATTCCTATACTTTCCTCATTCACTACACCATTAGGTATAGGAGCTTTATCGCTCACATCAAACTCCGTGCCCACAAATGCCCAACGATACATTTGAAAGTGTGGTAGTAGAGTTGCTGGCAACACACAGCCCATTTCAAGTAGTTTTGATGCCTCAAGTTGTACTGAACGCCAGTAATATATCTGACTTTGTGTTGACAGGCCATTGTTGGCAGCTGAAGAGGACCATGACGCATCCATACCAGAAACCATGCGACTGGAAAAAGCTCTACTTTACAAATATTTTCTAATATAATCATAACCTAATTTACCTGACATCTTCTCCGTCACCTTTAAGTTCCTGTTCAAGGGATAGGAATACTTGCACCATTTCGGCAATAATTATAGGCCATAGGGAGGTCACATGATCGGGTGACATACGCAGCAGTAGTACCCGGAAACATAGAAATACTGCCGCTTGTACGGAGGGTACATTCGACAGTAAACGTAAGCTGTTGGCTAATTGTTCTGCAGAAGATAAAAGTAGATTTTTAGATAATATTGCACTTTATAACTTTGTTCACTCTTTTACCTTGAATTTCTGGCATATACTTGTGATACTGATCGAATTCACTGCAAAATATAACAAAAGCCAAACGTTTTAGCAGCATAGAACGCTGTTCATACTCTTGTTCCCGGGAGGTGAATATATTTAAGCTGCCAGTTTGTGTTAACGAAACACGACTCATCAATTCGCGGAACGTGGTGTTATCGTAAGTCATTAAACTGTCCATAATCTGTTTCCAGAATGGCAGGCATGTAATGTCCATTTGAAAGAACGAAGTATCCAGGAGCAAGTCCATCATATCTTTGCGCCAAGCCTTGCGTGTATACTGATAGCCACTCAGAGATGCCAAAAGACTGGAACAGGCATAAAACGAAGGTATATTGCGTGTAGTATGATTCTTCAAGTATGGTGTTATATTGTAGAGAAGCGTGGTTATAATCGAAACGACTTTGTCCTTTTCTTGAGAACCGTAGGCCACATCCAGAAGGTTGGCAAGTATGGCAGCTAATACACTTTGAGCTTGTACGGAATACTTTTGAATGACACTAGTGCCGCCAGCACTCGATGTGGACGTAGTATCGCCATCGGTAACCATTGGTGTGATGTCTTCTTTAACGGCTAAATTACGTCTTAGCCAAGTTGTTTGCTCTAAACAAGAGCCAGCCACATTGGACAATGAGTCCACCAGACGCGAAGTCACATCGTGCAAGTCGCGTATATCTTTTTTATCTTGGAACGGCATTTGAGGACAACGCTGAACGAATTCATTCAGTAACATAAGAAGTGTGAATTGTGCTGACGGTGTCAGAGACAGGCCATCCTTTAAGAGAGCTAATAAAGAGGTCCAAGAGTCTCCCAACTGCGGGGCTGGAGCCGATTTCATATAGAAATAGAACAATTCCAATGCCGACACCTCTATTTTCAAATTTGAAGGTGGTCTGTGAATGGGTGGCGGAGATTTTACCACTTGATGTAGTGTTTGCACAAACGAATCCATGGGCATTACTCGTATACTGGAAACCAATGATACTAGACTTAATTGTTCGGCACAAGCCTGAGGCATTGAATTCCTTTGATATTGTTGAGGTATTGTAAGATTTTTGTACTCATGGGCACATTTCTTGCGATGTAGTTCTCCCCGCTCTTGCCAAGTTACGGCTATGGCTGCTAAAAAGTTGGCGCCATGATGTAATGATATTGGCGATAGGAATTCCATCAGCTGTTGCTTTATCTGTCTAATTTGGCCCAAGTCACTGTCCCATATGGCAGCGACACTAGAAACTATACGCGGTAAATGAGAGAGCACTGCATTTCGGGCAGCCATTAGTTGCTGATTTTTAGGCGCCTGCACATCTGCCTGGTTTGTGGTTGAACTAATCGATGTTACTCCGGCTGGCAGGAGAGAATGGACAATGCTGTTAAATAATTGTCCTGTATTGGAATTTTGTGATGCTATTGCACTTGTTTGTGGATAAGCCTGGTTGAAAAGTTGCGACAGTGTTGTCTGTTGGGTATTGTCCAGCAGACAATAGTGACAGAGAACAGTAATAGCTTCCAATTGCGAGATGACATAGTCAGGAGGCAATCCAACTTGGTCTTTCAATTTCATTTTAGTTAATTGATCTATATTATTGCACAACTGGTGTACCACACTAATGACAATGTTGGTAAGAGAGCCAAAGTTGAAACAGTTCAAGGAGGACGTCACCAAATCGGTCCAGTTGTGATGCAGTGGCCGTAAACGTTCATCCTGTAAGGCGCTTAAAATTGCAGACAAAAACATTGGCTGCTGACTGATGACACAGTTGGGTAAATATTTCACAGAACTCAACGAAGGTTCGCCCGAGGTTAAGCGAGTAGGAGAAATACTGCCAGAATCTGTGGGTTCATTAGTGCCTGTTCCACTGGAGTCGTTTTTCAACAGTATGACTTCGTACTCAAGCTTAATGACCACCATCAGAAGTCTCAATAACTGTATTTGAAATGCCTCAGCATGTAAGTTATCGTCTTGGGGATTGTTAAAGTTAATTATTTGCTCGGCCATGGTGGAGCCTTGATAGTGATGACCATAAGTGTTTACTGATGAATTCAAGCAATGTAAAATCACTTTTTGTAATTTACATCTGGCCATAAGATCGGCCAAGTAACAAGCCAAGCCCTTGCCCATGCCTTTTACGATTTCAATTAGTTCGGCACATATAAGGGTCAACAATTCAATACTTTCCAGCTGAACACGGCAATTACCCATAACATCAGCTCTAGTGGGAGGCTCACTTGCCGAATCGTGTGAGTCGACGTGAAAGAAGCCCCTGGCATAGAATAAGCACAACAGCAGTAAAACCTCCAAATGCATACAGCCTCTGTAGCTCTGGGCAAATTCTGATGTAGTTATGCTGCCCGCAAAACCTTTACCCGCTATACACTTGCGATGTCTTGTCAGTAGTTGTTTCAATGAGCCACTCGATAGAGAAGTGGTGATCGAAAGACACAAAAACGTACGGGTATCACAGGATATAATGTTTCTTAGAGTGTGAAAGGCATACAGAGTTTGTTTCGTGTCATAAACGTTCATGTAAATTAACATATGATTTTGGTACAAAGGCAACAGCTTTTCGTTTTGAAAACGTTTGGTCATGGAACTCTCAAATGAGGTACAGCTTTTTGTAGATGATCTCTTGCTGGAGGCATCTTGTTTGGCCAATTGCGATGTGGCCGATTGTCGAAGAATTTCCAAATTTTGTTTACTTTTCTCTATAGTTTCTGGCGTCAATTCCCACTCTTTATTGTGCGACTTTGCAGTAGTTTCCAAATTTAAAGTTTTTCGCTTCTCTTCGATGTTTATGAATTTCGAGGTGGAATCTTCCTCATCTTCAGCGCTTTCTTTTGCTATTTCGCCGGTAGTAAAACTATTGTTACTGTCAGTGGATATTTTCGAAATGCAACTCATGCGTTTGCTATCCATTTTCTCCTTATGGCCCAAGGGAGATTTGTTCGACTTTAGTTTTTTGATGCGGTTCTTTAGTTTCTTTTTGCGTTTTGTTATGGCTGTATCGCGTACTTGCTCTATAAGATCCTCCACAAAAGACTCGACTTGACGTTCATCGGACTTGGAATCGAAATATTCTTCTGCCGCATGTGCATCATCTTCCAACTGGTCCATTTCTAAGGAAAACGGACCATGTTCGTCAGTGGTCGTAGAAGTTAAACTTGTATCGCCTGGTGTTTTCTCCCTGGTCAAATGGTAGGTTTTGCGATTTTTTATGCGATCGTGTTGCGAGAGTAGTTCAGTAACACTTTCTGTGTGACCCACATAACGTTTCAGATCCGATTTACTTTCATACTCGAACGTCTGTGTAATAGAATCATCTTTTTCAACGCTTGTTTCACGCTGTTCCGACTCCGAGTCGAAAATACTGCTGTCCGATTCATCGGTGTAGTCTTGATCAAATGCTGCATCATCATTTTCATCTTCCTCTAAGTCATCGGGATCCTCATCTTCCATTTGAGTCTTAAAACAGAAAAGATAAGAAGTTATATGATAAATAGATGTAGAAAAAATGACGAACGAATAGTAATGTAACACAAACTATTTTAGCTTTGAATACAAAAACATTTGATGAAACGGAATAATAGATAACATGAGTGTAAAGTTTTTTCTAAAAAAAATTAAATTGTGTTTAATGAAAAGAGCAATACAGTCTACATAAAACGTTTCTACACTCATGTTCATAGTTGTTCTTATCAAACCCACCCTAAATTTATACAAAACCTCCTCCACCAGCAATACGCTTTTAACCTTGTTGCACACATTAAATAAATATGTTTGTATGTAGTAATAACTCACCTCTTTAATATTTAATTTCTCCTTTACCTGTAGTGTTTCCGGTTCTTGATCATCGTCAAAGTCCAACGAATTCTCCAATGGATTTACAATTACCCCAATTGGGGTAGATGGTGGTACCGCCACATCTATGCCACCGATATTTGGGGATGTGGATGCTGTTTGATCGCTTACGAAATTAGATGTTTTATTCTTACTGCTTAAAGCAACGCCGAATATCTTCTTGTGGAAAGAACGTATGGGGCTACGCTTTTTGTGGTGACTGGTCGAATCCGTTATATAACGTATATTCCCGTATTCCGAACTAACCGCATAGACATCTGCCTCAACAGAGCTGTCTACATCAGTTGGATTGTTATTTTTGCCATGACCATTTAACGAAGATGCTTTTGAATTTGCATTGTCGTCATTGCCCTTTTGCAGAAGATGTATATGAACTATGCTAATACGCTTGGTATTGGAGGCTAGTAAAATCTTATATAAAGGTTTAACCAAACGTGAAAGATCGCCTCTTAGTAAAGCCGATTGCAGCCATTTGGTAACACATGTTCGCACCGACATGTATGGCGGCAATGCCAAAGTGTCTAGAACCTTAAATTGTAATTTTTCAAAACCTCTAGTTTGTTGTTTATCGCGTCCTAAATGCCAGAGTAGCTCATATTTTTTGAAACTTATTGATTCGCTTTCGCTTAGCTTTTCAATAGATGAACGCTGCACCAGAAATGTGGGTGCTACACACATCATATGTACATCGGTAGCCCTGTCACTGTTATAGGCACTCAGAGCAGTTGTTTGTAACTTCTCCTGCTTACGGCCGTGATGGTGACGTTTAGTTTCTGACATTTCGTAGGCTGCGCTGAAATGTTGTTGCATTGTTTTCGCAAACATTCGATTGTCTATTATACGTTCCACTAAGCCACTTTCCAAACAATTGTGCAGTTGATAGAGTAGAGCACATACTTGTGTGTTATCGACTTCATGTTCTCCTAAATAGTCCCACAACTTGGAGGCCAGTAATTGAAAAACTTTAGTGTGTCGTTCAATGTAATGTACATGGCCAAATTTTAGTAAGGGAAGCATTACAACAAATGTTACTCCAGGACTTGTAGTATGTTCGATTTGGGATTTCAATAAGCTAAAATATTCAAAAACAAGTTAAAATTAGAAACTTCATTAGATTATTTGTTTGTTACCTTATTAGATCAAAGAGCGTTGTAATAGAGGAAAGTTGTAGTTCTTTATCATTTTGAGTATAGCAGGCCACAATACATAGAACTTTTAACCAACTGGGCAAATCATTTTCTATAATTCAAATATATCTTTGCTGAGTACATATTTAAAATTTTGAAAACTTATTTCACAATCACTTACCATTCTTTTCCAAAGTAATATTCTTATTGCAATTTGGAAATGTGGACATTTCCACCAATAAATTTACGGATAATTTAATGGCTTGCCTCAGTGATGGTGACAACTGCAACTGCAGCAGAGTCTGTAGTCTCTTTTTAGTCAATTCATCAATTTCATAAGAATTCTCTTCGACATCTCCATTTTCACTGCCATCGGTGTTTTCACTTTGAGCCTCATTGAGGGAACGATTGAGTAATGTGTGCAATTGTTTAGATCTGTTAACAACATGTATTTTGAGAGTTTCAAATAGATTATCTATATCTAAAATGCGACATGGATTTATGTCTTCGTAGACTTGCTCATGCTTGAAAATGTTTTCAACATTGGGAAGTTTATTTTCAGCCTCCAAAGTATCTTGATTTTGAACTTGTACCTTCACAAAGCATTTGCTTGATTTTTGTTGCGTTGTGATCTGTAGAACTTTATGACTCAAATAGACTTCGAAAAATATTTCGTATTGTTTTATACATTTCTCCAGTATGGTGGATGTTGCCGAGGCTTCCTGTTGCTGCAAATCGTCCTGTTGGTTGCTAATGTCTTGATAATTGAAAATGAAGCCCTCTGCGTGCTGTTTAGAAGATTGCTCTAAAGGAGCACTTTTTGGTTCGTCATCTTGAAACTCGTAGTCCGGTGTATCGACAGGATCATTATAGGAGTGCTTGGAATCCCTAATGGATGACGATGACTTGTCATGTGTAATCGAAAGTTCTTGAGGCCGAACTTTTTTGGGACTCATGCGTAAACGATTGGCTTTTGCTTTTATCTTTTTAATGCTAGTTGGAGTGTCTAAATCTGAAGATGATTGCCGTGGATCTATTAACTGACCAGTATCGGGACAAATCTGTAAATTGGAACATTGAAATAATTGTTGAGCAAACAACTTTTTCCAATTAAAAAATATTGTTTTTGTTTTGTAGTTAAGGGAAAAGACAGTTGAAACATCACTCCAGAATATTTTTAACTTGACGATTACTGTGATTAACATTTACTTACCTCTTTGTCTAGTTCAGAAAGTTTTGAGAAAGACTTTGCTTTTTTCTTTTTAGTGGGACTTTTACGTTCCATATGTTGATTCGAATTCGATCGACGAATATGTTCCTCGTCGCGAGCTGATGTCATTGACTTGTTCATATTTTCAGGATTGGCAAATTGGTCAAGTTTTGAATCCGATTTACTTTTTTCCAAAGCATTTGCTCCTAATATCGCCGATATAGGTTGAGCTCTAGTTGAGCTATTGTCAGCTTTTTCATTGTCACTAGATTTGTAGCCTTGTTGAGAATTGCGAGGCATTATTTTAATGGGACTTCTGTAAAAAAAATTGTTTTATTATTATGTAAATATAATAATTAGTATCGAATAGCTTACGTTATCATGGGTTGCACTCTGGAGACAATTTTCATGCAGAGTTTCAGAGAAGCCGTTACCTCGTCGTTGGTTAGATTTTCTAGATGTACAGTTAGCATTTGCGTTATGGCTAAAAATACTTTGGGCAAATAGATGCGTGTTGTTTCGTTATACATTTCTAAAGAAATTGTTTCCAATAGAAACTCGGTAAGATAGCAAATCTCCACCAGACTAGGATCGCCAGAGCCTACAACACATTGAAAACGTTGATCATTGCTAATCGAGCGATTGTAGGACTTTTTCGACGAATCACCGTTATTAACCTTTTTAGTCTTTAAATATTGAAAAATAAAATATTACAGTATGTCCGTTTAATTGTGCTACTCTGTCTTTATAAAATTTACCTTTTTACATGATTTTTCAAACATTGTTGTCATAAAACTCCAGATATATGCTGGATCGAAGGTGGCAAAGAGCAAATTTGAAGATTTTGTAACTTCAACATTGCCGTTGGACAAAGACATGGTACGAATTATATCGCATAACACATAATCTAAAACTGCACTGCCTATTTCGGCCTTATCCAACAAGGAAACCATTATCCGATATGGTTTTAAATCGACCGGCGAACATTGTAAACTAAATTTCAAGGTAGAAATTAAGGCTTGTATGACAACATGTCTCGAATGCTGTTCAAAATAAGTTTTTGTCTGTTCTGCTCCATCGGTGCTGGTTATGTCAGGAACTGCCTCATAAGTAGGAGAATTTTTCATAACTTCTGAACCCAACAGCCATGAATACAAGCGCCTATTCAATGACATATCACGCCTTAAAATGGTATGCAAACCATTTGTGACCAGCTTTATCAAGTCCATCTCCGACAAGAGTTTCGTATGCATAGGAAAACCGAGCAATAGAAATTCTAAAGTGTTCCTCTGCACCAGAATTAAAGTGTCATTTAGACAAGCACACAGACCTGACATCATAATATCACGATTGTGGCCCATAACGTAAATTTGTTCTTGCATTGTTGTACGTTTGTTAAAATGTTCAAGTAGATACGAAATGGCTGGTAGACGTACCGAAGCATTTGTGGCCACACACTCCCAAAGGACGGTATAAAAATGTGTTGGATTAACGGCAGTGCACACTTGTGTCAGTAGTGAACTGGTGCGTTCGAAATGATCTAAGCCACATTCATAACCGGGTAATACACCACTCAAAAACCCACTTAAGGCAGGTCGAAGTTTCTCACCTAAGGGCACAAAGTATGTTTCATAGATGCCCAAAAGGGCTGGTCGGACATTCATGGCAGCATAACCGAGTAACGGAAATAAACCCGAGCTGATGAAAATTTAAGAAAATAAATTTGTTATCCGTTTTTCTTATGAATGGTTAAACTAGTGTCATTTATATACCTGTATATAAATAATTCTGTGGCCAAACGCTCTGGACCTGTTTTGCCAAATATTACAGCATAAGTTTCCAAAGCTTTCAGATGTACACCCGAGGGCAATGCTGGATGCATACATTGTGCCAAACGTTTAGATATTTTAATGCGTCTTGGTATAACTTGATACTGTGTATTACTCGATATTGCCTGATACGGAAAGTTGACATATTATAAAACAAGAATTGAGAGCAATGCGTAAAATCCTACCACCACCACTCACTCACCTTACTTAGTTTTCCCAGAGCCGATATAAGATCAGCCCATTCTGAGGAATATTCAAAATTTCTCAAGGCTTTATCTATGTTAGACATGTAATTTCGATATTTGGCTTCCGCCATAAGTTTTTTCTCTTCCATTAAAACATCAGCCGACTCCATGATGACGACCAAAAGACGACGGCTGATGTTGACTCGAAAATAATCAGTGTTTGGTTTTTTGTTGTTGTTTATTCTTCTACGTCGCTTTATTTGTATTTGCTGTTGTTACTTAAAAGATACAACAGAAAAAAAAATAATTTTATTTATTTTTACAATTACATGAGAATAATAATGGAAAAATAATTTTAAACACAACCACAAAATATAATAAAAAAGAAAGAAAACTACATGAACTTTTAAATCAAGAGTCTAGAGTGAAAAAAATAAGAATGGTTGATTGGTGTTTTTGTTTCTTCTTCATGTCGTTGGGGTACACCAGTCAGTATACACCACCGCCACCACCACCGTGTTTGTCCACAAGGGGATTTTTTTTTCGTTCATACATAATTGATTATGAGTAAATTAACAAATGTTATACGTAAAAAATTAAGATAATAGAACAATTAAAGATTTATTTTGGAATTTTTCACTTTTATATCATTTTCGTAGTATTTTTTAAACTTTTTATAAGGTATTTTTTTATTACTTGTCCTTCAACTCCTTGTTTTTGTTATTTTTTATGTTGTCTGCAAATCTATATAATTTTCTTTTTTTCGTTTTTTTCTCATCCAATTTGTATGTAAACATTTAACTGCTGACGCATAACTTTATCCCTTTGTCGTTGTTGTTGTAGTTTTCATTATTACTATTGAATAAATTTGATAATTCGATAGACTTTGATTTCACTACATATTTTTTATTATTTCCATATATATTCTCGTGCACTAAATATTTGTTGAATACTTTTCATAATTAAAGAACATTTTTGAATGGATTCTTTGTGTTTTCACTTTTAATTTTTTGAGAAAAATTTGCAAATGTCGAAATAAAAAATACAACTGAATAATGTTCCCAGACTAAAAGAATAAATGTAAATGTTTAAAGCTAGCCAGACTGTTAATGAAAATCGGCAAGGGAAAATCTTCTGTTTTATACGATTCTGATGAGCAAAGCCGTTACAGTTTAAAAAAGTCGAAGTTTTATAAATAAAAACCAACAATTGCAAAAATACAAAAATTTCAAGAAGAACAAACATGTAATTTGATTTTTTTATAGTAGCAAAAAACCTCTGGATTTAATAAGACTAATATTTCAAAAATTTTAGAATAGAAAAGTTGGTTGGCGAAAATTTTGTATAAAAAATATAGGTATAACAATTGATTTCAAAACTTTAAGGTTCAAAGGTTATTTTAGGAATTATTTAGCCGTTTGTGATGGAACTTCTGTACTTCACAAAGTATTAAAAAAACTTTTAAAATTATTCTAGACAAATATCCGATCATTTTATGTCTTTGTTTCAACTATATAAAAAATTCCAGTTTCGCAAGATATTCCATTTATCGTCTACGATAATACAAAATATTTGACTTCGATTTATTTATACAAAAATCGTTTGCTACCAAGTCGATTTAGATTTTTAAACTTTTCTTATAAAATTTCGATTGTTCTATTTTTTGAAAATCATGTCGATGAGTCAAACAAAGATTTAAGAAAAATTGATTTTGAAAATTAAAAAAGAGTCTGGTAACACTTTATTTTTTATTTTAAAGTGACATTTAATTTTTAAATAATAAAAGTCAGTTTTGATATTAAATATTTTAGTTAATTAAAGAAAATCAAATTAGTAAATTAAAAGAAAACTATTAAGCATTCTTTAAGATACTTCAAATGATATTTATTAAACCATTCAAACTTAACACAACACAGTTTCTTACATTACAAATACGGTCTATCCATTGGTGTAGTTTTTGCTCTCTTATCACGGGAACGTGGAAACCATCTGTGTTTGGTTGTGTGTGTAAGACGCATGAGTTCCTCGCGAGCCACCTCAGGTCTTTTTTCCTTAAAAGCACTCATAGCGCTAGCGAGGGCCTCATCCTTAATTAGAGATGCTGATTGTGTTTCAGATGCATGTGGTAGTGGCTTGGTGCACTCGTAAGGAAAATCGGGCTCTGGATGCCAGGCAACGATTGTTTTACCATTAGTTGATACAGCTACAGCTTCCACTAAATTACGTCCTCCAATGGCATTTTTGTTTATAGCCAATTTTAAGGAATTTGTAGAAAATCCACGCAAGAAACGTGTAGCCGACATTTTTCCAGTTGTTTTGTAATGTTTTTTTCTTCTGTTGTCCCCCCACTAAACAGCTGTTTGTTTAAGTGTTGTTTAAAATAGTAGTAATTGTTATGTATAAAAGCTGAATTTTATGAAAATATCTGCAGAATGTGCAATTCGAGTCGCTGCTTTTACTTCAAACACTTTGTGTTTGTAGCAAACACGAGATATGAAAAATACATTGCTGTTTGACAAACCAGAGTTTCCTAGATCATCAAACAAATGTATTTTAAATGGGACATCAAACAAAATCTGTTTGAAGGAAAAATTCTTAAATTTTTTGCGCGCACTGCATGTTTTCGCGCCAATTTATGCAAATTCTCTATTTGATATTCTGTCATTTTACATACATACATTTTGAGTTTGTAACAAATGTAGATCGTTTGGAAATTGTTTAAATTCTTTTAGAAAAATTATAAAACATATATACTTTTGTTATTGAAAATAACATAATTCTTTATTGAAAAAGTGTAAATACCTACTAAAAATTTGATTGATTTGGCCTGTTTGTGAGATCTAGAAGATTAAAAAATGAGAGTAATGATGTTAATTAATTATTTATTTGTCTCTAAAGAACGTCATTATTTTTAAGAAAGAGGAGGCATCATGATGGTCTGCTGGAAGAATGCCCACAAGAGAGTGGCAATTGTATACCTCCCTAGTCACCTAGGCGGGTGGTGGTCGGTCGCCTAGTGGTGACATGGTATATTATCACCTAGAGGCAATGGTCGGACGCTGATTGCCGTCTTCAGGGGTTACCACAAGGATACATACTTATTATTATACCATTGATCTCAGCAGAATCACTACAATACACCCATAATAGAGCGCGATGTCTGTCTGGTGTGCCTTTCAGTGGAGCTCTTGTTGTCTCCAAACACTATGGTGGCCGAATATTTACAAGAAACAATTGGTAAGCCGCCTTTTATACAAATGTATAGCTTTGTAGAGAATGTCTTCCCGGGCCTAGAGGATATAACCTGGCTAGGTTGTCGTCTTATATACATATGTATGTATGTAGATGTTGTTTGGGCAAAATATTGGTACTAACCATTATGGGCTTTATGTCGACTTTAGATCGCTAAGGATAATTGTCACACTATACCCAATAAGCATTCTTGATGGAATTAAAGTTTAAAACAAGTTTAATTCCAGTCAAACATTCAAATTTCAAGTGTTGAAATTTGAAAAAAATTACCGAAAGGGGTAAAAATGGGAAATTTGATTGTATTCAAACACAATGATCCAATTTAGATAAAATTTTTAGATTTAGAAACACTAAATATGCTAATGGGGTGTTATTTGGAACCCCGTACCAAGTGACATTTTTTGGTACTTTTTCATTCTCCAACTGGTACTTTTTGAGTTTTCTATGATTTTGAAATCGAAGCATGAAATTAATTATGTATGTAGAGCCCGGATTAGGCGAGAACACATAAAAGTGGACTTTTTTGGTACTTTTTCGTTCTACAAAAGGTACTTTATGAATTTTCTATAATATTGAACCTAGAAAGATGAAATTTAGCATGTAGGGCCTTGATTAGGTGAGTAACTATAAAAGGGAACTTTTTGTTACTTTTTCGTTCTTCAAAAGGTACTTTTTGAAGTTTTCTTTAGTCAGAGGCGCCAAACTACCGTTAGTTTTTCGGCGTGTGTTGTGAGTGATTTATTAAAGAAATATCAAAAATTGTGTTAATAATTTAATTATTAACTTTTCAGTGTTGTGTTTGTAGATATTAATGCTTAAACATAGTGTGTGGCATGTAGGATTGCGTAAATTGTTCAATTTATTTCGAATACATAAATATTTACGTACACATATATTATGGTGTTTGAAAGTGTTCCTAAGTTAACATATTTTTTTTGTGAATTTTTATATTGACTAGCTAGTCTGTCCACTTATTATTAATTTTGTTTATTGTTTGGCGGACGGTGGGAATGTAACTCGAACGTGTAAGTGTTGCAAGAACGAAGGTTCTCCTATCTGGTACAACAGGTTGGAGGAGAAAAATTTTGTTATTTGGCAATGTGCAGGAAGCACTTATCTACATATTTTCTTAAAGATTTAGAGCTAGTTTGATTTAGTGAAAGTACAAGGAGTTTGGAAAAATATAAAAAGCCTGTCTTGTAGGTACTTAGCTTGTAGCATACTATATACCATTGGAGGTCTTCGAGTTGAAACAAACATTACACAATACCCACTAAAAGTTTGCAGGTATCTGATAAAATAGTAAAAAATAAATGGCAACTTCAATTAAATAATGAAAGAACAATTTGTGAACTTAATCAAATATCGGTATTGGAAAGCAGTTTTACCATGAATAACGTACCGGCTGGATGGACATACATATAAATAAATGGGGTAAGTTTTTTTTTAAATCTTATGTATCAAGTGTAATTTATATGATTATGTTTAATAATAAGATTAAAATTTAAAGTATATGTACATTTCCATGAGAAGGTCTTTGAAGAGAATTTAACAAAATTTGATATGGGGATTCTATTATAGGTACAAAGGCGAATTGTGTTAAAAATATTTAAAATCGGATCATTACACTTAGGTCACATACAACCTGACCCCTAAATAACACTTTAGTGCTTATAATTTTGTTAAATACACTAGTATACCTACAAAAGTCAGATTTATAATTTTTATGACCGTTAACCGTACTGCTGTTTTTTGTAGTCATTGGACCTTTTTTGATCTTAGTACCCATATAAAGTATTTGTTTCAGCAAGTTACTTAAAAGTTCAAAAGAAGTAGTTTAAGGGATGGGTGATACTTGTGTTTCAAAGGAAATTATGAGTGATCGTAAAAAAATTTAATTGTGTTGCAAAAGAAGTTACGAACGATTTTATTTTTATGATTAAATAAGTCGATTTTTAAGGAAAATATGAGTGCTCAAGATATGAACTTCATTTATTAATTTAAGCGTTTAAAACTTTTTGAGTTTTTCAATCAAAATCTATACTTTAGGAAATCTTGAGTAATCCTAAAATAAGTCCCTTTTACGAATTTAAAATTTTGGTGAATAAATTCTAAAAAGAATTCATTATTGTAAAGCTTTGTTTGAATTACAAACAATTTTAAATTAAAGGTTTAAAAAACCAATTTTGTATGGAAATTTTATTTTATAAACCTTTTGCCAAATATAAAGATTTATTAATAAGACTTTTGATCTTTTTGGACAATAAAAAGGCAGACAGTTATAAACAATTTATTTTTCAAAAATGTATTTTATTTGTTTTGATATAATATATAATTTAATTGGATGATAAGCTTATTGGTTTCCGAACAATGACTTAAACAATAACAAGAGTAGAGGTAGAAAAATGATTTCTTTTAATTGCATTTTTTTATAATTTAAATATTACAAGTTAAAGCCATAAAATGATTTAAGAAAATTATATTAATAGTATACTTTTAATTATTTTTATTTTGTTATTAATTGTTGCGTTTAAAACAGCTTAATATGACTTCTTAGGACGCATCTTTCAAATAGTTTGTAGGTTTGATTAAAGTATATTCACACACACACACTCATATACAAAGGTATAATGTTAATAAAGGACTAAATAAATTATACGTGCTAATATTTCCTAAAATTATAAAACAAAAGAAAATAAATCGTTAAAATCTCGAACATGTTAGAAATTACAAAAAATAGGCCATTAAAGCTGTTACTTTTTTGTCACATTTTGTGTTTTATAGCAACAGGACAATTTACTGGACTAGTTGTACGTATGTATGAATGTTTGTGTGATAATTTGGTAAGGTGGTCATTAGTTTCTTTTGGTAGTCGTTAATGTTGTTAGCGTTTTACTAAACTTAGACGATGACGCAGTTCAATATTTCTTACCAATCATTTATTTGTTTCGTTCGTGCCGTATGGTGGAAGCTAAATAACATGCTAATATAATGCCCAATATTTGTATGAAGGCAATGCCAATGCCCACTCCAATTAATATTATGGCATTTTTCTCTATACGCTCTTTTAGTTTTCCAACGCAACCCTCCTAAAAATAGTAGTAATATAAAATAAAACACATATGAATATAATGCGTTCAAAATAAGTAAATCAAACATTTAAAGATAACACTTTTCTAATTACGAAATTACCTGGTAATATTTATCCTTTCCCAAAGCAGGCGATTCCGTGCAATGTCCCACATTTTGTTCAATATATTGGGGACGACAACAGCTGGGAGGCAAAGTTTTATTTGCACTCATGGTACGCCAGTCGGAAGGATTGTCCACACCACAACACATTAATTTGCGTTGTATATTATCCCAGGCCATGGTATCCTCCTGATTAGAACGTTTTATAGAATCTTGTAGTGAGTTTTTAATCATCATTTCCAAGTCATTCTTAAAGACACTGGCCGCTATGCCCACAGCCAGTTCAATAATAAATATGATGGCCAATAGAAGAGCATACTAATGTAATGAACATATAGTAAAGGTATTAATTGATATGTTAATATCTAATCATTAAACACTTACCGCCAAAAGTAAAGTGGGTGACTCTTTGATGGCACCAAAGCAACCCAACGAGGCAATAAGGAATATAATTAAACCGGTTACAATTAAAACAATTGGTGGTGCAGTAACTTTCCCCTCTATGAAGTGATTAAATTCATTGACATCTGCTAAGACAACAGATCCGGCTATTAAAATACCCAAGCCCGATATCTGAAATAGAGGAGGAATAACAAATTTAATAAATTTTAAAATTTTAATTCGGAATGTTTTAAACAAGAACTTTTAAACGATAGATAAACCTATTTATAGACATTTTCACAGCTTGAACTTTTTATGAATTAGAATAAACTGTCCTTCGTAAATACAATCTATTTTCAACTGCTGGCTGATATTTGACTAAATTTATTAAAAATATTGCAGCAAGCCTAACATAGTGCCGGTAAATCGTTTTTTAGTTCAAGCTACAATTAGTCCTTTCTTCGACAGGGTTTTATAGGGAGAGTAAGATTCTCTCACAATTCTTTCTTTAGGGAATGGATTCGGTGAAACTTCCCGGTTGAAACCGCTTGGGAAACGACCTGTTTTCATTCCTCTCTCCTCAGTAATTGTGCTCTTTTTGTTTTTTCTAGTGTTTTGTTTCTCTATCTATGGATCTTCACTCTCTACGATGGAAATCACACAGGACCTTAAGGTCTTCGAGTGGATTTGCATCTTTTTTTAACAGAACTGAAAATTCAAAGTTTGAATTTGTAGGCGTGCGATCATTCGAGGATATGCAGTTTATTTCATCAAAACAGAAACCCAGGTCGCACATATTAGAACAATAATAAACATAATGTCCAAACATTTAAAAATTTCGAAACATAGTATACTCTGGATTTTGCTAAATTTTCACTACATTTCCCCTTAATTCGCTTTCAGCACAACTCAAAGCTTTATAAAATTCAGAGTTATATTTATTTTTCTATAATAAATTTAAACATTTCTTTGGACTTTTCATTGCCGTTTTTCAAGAAATTTAATTTAATTTTCCTTAACAATCTAATTATTCACTAACCTTACAGACATGCACGATTTAATGTAATTTTCTTATTAAATTTTGGAAAAACCATTAGATCATATTTATAATTTATGGTTTATTTATTATTTTTTTCATTTGCATGACGTATTTTTCTTTTTTTTATTGTTGTTTATTTATCCCTAGGACAAATCTAATCGTCTAGTTTAGGACATTGTACTTACAGCTTAATGAATAAAATTATAATAACAAATGTAGAAGTACATATGAATGTGTCAGTTGAAGGAACATGTGCATATATCGTCTTCTTATATAGCAAGGGATGGGGTATATTATTGCTATTAAAATTTTAGTGAAAAGTGAATTTACCGAAAATTTAATATATAATTGCAATTCTCCAAGCCTTTAAATACAGAGTTTTGTTAATCGAATATAGTGGCACACATTACCCCATTAATTCATCAGTTTACTTAGGCGGCAATCACTTTGTAATTATACCCCCGTCCTTTTCAAATTCAAGTGACGATATGCACTTTATGTCATTAGTAACTATTTATTTAATTTAAATAAAATAAACAGTGAAAAGCTTTAAGGATATTTAATTGGACGTGTTAATATAAAAAGGGGGTTGATGTTAAATATAACCAAATACTCTTAGTACAAAAAATTAGATTTTTTTTCCATTCGTAATGGTTTTTTTTAATAAACTAATGTCAGACATATAGATAAATGCTTTGAAGAACTTAAAGTTTATTCAATTTGAGAATTAGTGGAAGTATTAAACCAAAGAGGAATAAAATCAATTAATAATAAAAGTTTTGTTAGACATTTTTATTTCTTGTTTTAGAAACTGCCACCGGTAGTTTAGTAGTAGAGGTTCTACTCTGTCAGACAGCAGGTCGTGAGTTCGATTTCCATCAGAGACATTGGTAGAGGAGGCCTAGATGTATTTCTTCAGATTTTATCCTTTTTTCAATCTAATTAACTTATAAACTATATATTTTACTAATAGATGTGACAATTTTTGTTACCACTATACGGTTTCCTAATAGAGGCTGAACACATTTCGAAATGATTGTCGGGTACTTGTAGTTTTGACTATTGGGAACTACACATTTTTGTCTTCAGTTTAATGAGTTCTTCATCTATCAAGTTTGTATTAAGGGGGTATGCGGAAAATCTTCATAATTATATACATAGGTCGACAAATTTCGCATAGTCGCATCCCACTTTGAACAAATTGAGACTACTACGTACACTCGTGTAAAGAGTACTCCTCAAAGGACTGGTCCAAAATTAATCCAAATATATGGGAATACTATACTCCATTTAACATTGTGATATCCTAGTTGGGAATCATGTAATCCATTCTTGCAATACATCAGAGTAATCCCAAAACTACTACCTTGATAAAATGATGGGAGTACATCCGCAATAGGGTCCTATATAATGCAGACAATGGACCATGTTCATGAAACATGATCCATGTCTGCATTACATAGAACTACTAAACGAATCATGTACTCCAATAATGTTTACAAGAAATTAGTTTTGGTATTACTTAAATGGATCATGTACTCCAATAATTTTGCAGGGCAGAAACCAAATTATACATTTTTAAAGATAAAGATTTCAGATGACATAACAGATTTCATAAGTAAATGTGTCTTTGTGCTATTATAACGATTTTTTTATTTTTTCATAGCTTTAGGACATGATATATCGATATCCTGACGTGATGAATAAATTGTGATATTCAGATTCGGATTTAACTCAGTTTACTTTACTTTAGGGTTGTTTTATTAACTTATTCTTATGCTAAAGTTTTTGACAGCAGATTTTCCGCTATATTTACTCCTTCATGCAGATCCTAAGGTCGTTATCTGTGCTAAAGTCTATAGCAAATTTAGAAAAATGTTTCTCTAAATTACCAAGACATTCAAAATTTTTACAAAAATATTTTTTTGAAATAAACTTCAAATTACAAAGCGTCTTTTCACAAATGCCCTTTTTTAAAGGACATTTTATACAAATAATTTAATTATTTTTTCAACATTAAAATGTTATTTTTATATTAAAACCATTACAACTTTCGAATACCTTCACAAATAAGTAATATTTACAATACTTTTAATATTATTAAATTTCACCATCACAATAGTTTAAAATACTTACAGCGAAGACTATATTAAATGCAAATAATATGTATTTAATCAAACTCATACCGCAAGAACGCATTTTAAATTTCATTTGGAATAAAATTTATTTATTAAAAACGAAACTATTAAATTTTTTTTAAAACAATGTTAATCGAAAAATCGTTTTCGTGTAATATTTTCAAATACAACTTTTTTGCTATAAAAAAAGTTTATTTTTTTTCTATTTCGCTTAAACTACCGTTTAAAATGTCTATTCGAAATAGCGGCTCAAATAGAACTGACCAAAGTTGAACAATACGATTAACGACCAAAGTTGCGTTAGTGGCCACAACACAACCTGTAACGAGGTCGTTATACACATTTCTTTCCAACAGAGAGAAACAATGAAATCAACACGAAACTAAAACTCCTGTCAAAAGGGTAGGAAGAAGTTATAAAGTTCTTTTTACTTAAAAAGAACTCGACTATTCTAAAGTATTTTCTTCAAAAGGAAACTGTCAATATCACTTGTGAAAAAACAACAGCACCGACCTAATTTTGTTTTTCTAAAAAAAAATGTAAAAAATACAAGAAAATCAAAAATGTTAATGTACGTTTATTTTTGTTAACTGATGTATGTATGTGTATGTTTTTTTGTGTTTATAAGGAGTTTGACATTTGATTACTTCTAATAATAATAACGCAAACACCTTTGAATCCGCTGTAACTCATTGTAATTAAAATGAAAATCTTTTTTCCCTTTTTCCGCCGTTTATTTTCCAGCGAAATTCTTGAACATAAATATAATTTAGTCATTTATAAAGAAGAGTGTTACGACAATTTTGCTTAAGTTCACTTGAAATATTAAAACTTCTCTATATATTTAGAAACATGTTAGGTTTCACTTTTAATATTGCTTTCAATTATGGAGTACAGTTCGCGAAAAAATTTCACCATCTCACTCACTCATATATCTGGGACATTTACATTTGTAATTATTGTAAAGGTGTCGATGACCTCTTTTGTTATAATAGTTGTTTTTGTTTGTTTAATACATTTTATACTAAATAAATCATTTTTTTATATGGAAAATGAAATTTGACCTGTTAATATTAAGGTTGCGTTTAAATGTATTATTAAAGTGTTGTTCTACTAGAAAATATACTATATACATAGGCATTTTGTACAGATTCAAATAATGTCTTACAGAGAAATTGAAGTAATTAGTACAAATGTAATTATACTTTAAGAAAATATAACAAAATTTTTATATATAGTCTAAGAAAATAAGAATTTGGTAGTATCTAAAGTCGTAGGATTTATAATAAGCGAGATATTCCCAAAATCATGATTTTTTGTAAAATTTGACCGCCAATATCTCGCTTAGCGTACATGGGATTAGTGGTGACTTTTAGTTCCTTCATAAAGACCCCAAGAAGAAGACCTCTATTAACTTTCATTTAGCTATTTGAAATGCCACAGTTTTCTAATCGTTTCGACAAAATTTCCAGAAGTAATAACTAAATTGTGCAGAGGTTTTTTAAGATTCTAAACTCCGGAATTAGAGTCATGAACCTATTTGTTCTCAATAGCCTTAGATTTAGCTTGATTCTTTGGAATTTCTTTGCGGTACTAATGTTTATAAGTCAGTTGAGATCACTAAAGTACCTCTAGTTTGCCGGGCTAGTTTCACTCCTCGGCTAATACATGGAATAAATTGGTCTAACCAGAGAACTACATAATCTGGTACTTCGGGTGACCAGTTGCCCGCAGGCAGTTGGTTGAGGTTCCTTCGGGATTCACGTTTAACTCAAATTCGCGGGAAGAGTAAGTTGCGGTTAAAAGACAGATGCATAGTGAAGTATATATTTCGGGATTAGTTCGGTGCTGTTGCTAATTGACAACAGATATCCCACAGAGGGGTGACTGTGAGACTATGCGTTGGAAATGAGTTGGTGTTAATTGTATATGATACAGAATGAATGTAGGGGGATACGGAACTCATCCACCCGTATAACTAGAGTGAGTCTGTCGTATGTTGTTCTCTTATGAATGTGTCGGATAAATGAGAAGTGTGCTGGGTTGAATGGTTATGGTGATACCATTGAATTTTCCTTCCTCTGTTCATACCAGATTTACCACTGTTAGTAAGAACAAAGTCCCGGCTTATTTGATGGATTCGTATTTCGGTCTACCGGTTACGTCTCTAGGTTGCCGACTCAACAGAGGTCATCCCATCTGCGTGGTTGTAAACAGAAGTGATGTTTTTGCATCTCGGAAGTTAAGCAATGATCAGAGATTAGATAGTTCAAGTACTTGAGCAACATACGTAAATTTCCACCTGCGTGTAAGAAGCACAATGGGGCGGTGGTGAGTCGTTGCAAAAGCTCAACCCAGTGGTTGAAAAAGACCACCGTGAAATAGGCCAACACGGCAGGTGTTCACGTAAAGCACTTCAACATTAACCTCTCATTTATAAATATCTGTATACAGACCGATCAGTATGATACAATAGAATTTCTTAATAGAAAATTACAAACTCTAAAAGGTTTGTATAAAGTCAACTTTAAAAGTGAGTCTGTGCAGTTTGGTACTATTTTAGAAGGACCTACATACACAAATGTATTAATTCATATAACCATTACTAGTAAAGTGGTGTAGGGTATAAATACGACTTATATTTCGAGCATTATGTATACACAGACAGCATATCAGACGGATGAACTTTTTTAAATCAATTTGCACAAATGCATAATACTTTTCCCACTACATTTATAATGAGAATTTTTATACCCAGCAAAAACTTCATTTCTCGGGGCTAATGAAATGTTTGTTTCACATCGATCTTAAATATTTAGAAATAAAACAAATCTTATATGTATATTAATACATAATGGATGGTTTGCTTTTTATTTTTTTAAAGAAATAATACTTAATATAATAAAAAATATAATAGTTTTGATCGAAACTTAATTGTAATTCAAAAATATAGCAATTAAAGCGGATAAGAATAGAGCTAAGGATATGCCCAATGTAGAACTGCCACCAGTGCAAGGTAATACGCCATCAACAACTCTGCAAGAAATGGGATGGCAATATGGTAAATTTTTTTATTTTAATCAAACAGGAAATATTGATAACACACACAACACTACAACGATTGAAGACATTGACAGATTTGACAGATATTTATATTGTTTAGAATAATGTTAGGATGAGGATATGGGAATTAAAGGGATTTTAGTTTAAGAGTACATATTAATAAATTTTAATTATCATCTGAACAGGACGCAGTGTGTTCCAAAAATCTGTAAGAAATGGATTTTAATATTTTCATTATAGATTTCAAAACTGTTACATATCTAATAGACAATGTGCTTTAAGAAATTAAAACATTTCCCGGTACTTAGCGATAGTAATAGGGATGTGGTTGTGGATAATGGTATGTAGGTGGATAAGGATAATGATATGGATAGCCAGAAGACAATAGAGGATAGATAACTTGATCGTGCGGTTTGTCATGAGGTACATAAAATGTTGGTTGATTTTGGGATGATTGTGGTGGTGAAGAACATGATATATCAGCATTAGGTGAAGTATTGTGGCTGTAAATAAAATTCAGAAACATTTAAGATGTTATTAATAAATTTAAATTTAACAAACTGCAATTGTTTAAACCCAAGTTAGCTAAACATTGTTAATAATGTAATATGATATGATATATATTTACCTTTACACACATTTACCTTCTTCAATTGTTATAAAATATATTAAAAAATAAGATTTTATTAAAAAAACACCATTTAATGCTAAACCAAAAATATACTTATATAGAAATAGAGAATAAACAAATTTAAAACAGGACCATATTAAACTGTTAAACATTATACAAGTATTAAAATATATAGTCAATAATACCATTAACATTTAGTAGACAAAAAAAAACACACAAATGACAAATACTGTATATAAAATTGTTGAAAAATATTTAATTTGTAATCAATACACATTAATTTGTTGAATATTTCTTATTGTTTAGTAAAACAAAAAATGTCTGTTTTTTAGTATTAAGTAGTAAAAGTCAATAGTAACGAAACAAACTGATTAAAATTGAATATTTACTTGACACCAATAACGCCACAGGCAGCACGTCCGCCAGCATTGCCAGTCTTTTTCGAATCAGGATGTGTTGTTTTACCCAAATCATCAACATTATCGTGTATAACTAGACCACGTCCGATAATTGTCCGTGGTCCGGTTAAACTAATCAAATGATCTGTAAAGGTAGTATCGACAACACCATTTTCATTCGCTTCAATATTACCGAGATCACCAACATGACGAACTTCATCACTGGGACCACCATGATCCATCTGTAAAGGAATATAATAACAGTTATCAAATAAGGGTTATAGCTAGAACTGGTTCATAAGTATTTAATAGTCTATAGCCTTGTTAGTAGATTGAAGCGTAGAGTAGTTGTCAATCGATAGTAGATCATAGACTCGTTCATAAATTAGTCAAAAGATTAGTTCATAGAATAATTAAAAACTAGTTTTTGGACTTTATAATAGACTAGTCAATAGCTTATAAATGGCTCTATAGACTAGTCAATAGGTAAGTCCAAACTTGTTATTGGACTAAAGAAACGTTTGTTAACATTTAGACAACGGATTTAGATTTCGACAACGAATCGTTGCAATGTTGTCAACATTACATGGTGTTGTCGTACGTATGTATATACTTTGACAACGGATGGTATTGAAAAATTATATATTGGTGTCAATTTGGTACCAGGCGTGTATATTTCCTTTTTCCTCTGTGTAGTCAATGGATTGGTGAAAAGAGCAGTAAATGTACTAGTCAAGGAACTAGTCAAACGACCAATTTCTATACTTTTCATAAAATATTCCATAGACTTTTTAATACACTAGTTAATAGTCCATAGACTAGACAAAAAACTAGTCCACAGATTTGTCCATTGACTAGTCGATAGATTAGTTCATAGACTAATGAATAAACGAGGTCATATACTAGTCAATTAGTTAGTTAATATACTAGTCAATGGACTAGTGTGAAGACCAGTCCATACATTAGTCAACAGATTTGTCAATGAACTAGTGAAAATAGCAGTTCATAGATTATTATTGTCCATAGATTAGTAAATAAACTAGTCAGATTGGTTAAATGACTAATTCATATACTGATCATAAAATACTTTATAGACTATTCGATATCGTAGATAAAAGTCCATAACCTAGTCCACAGATTTGCCCATAGACTTGTGGACTAGTCCATTGGTTAGTCAATAGACTAGTTAATGGACTGTTTAAAGGCCAATTATAGACTATAGATCTATTGACAAATGTAAACACCAGTTCATAGACCAGTAGTCAAAAAATATATACTAGTCAATGGACTAATGAAAAGATAGATTCATAGACCAATTAATACACTTCTCAACAAACTAGAACTGAAAGACTAGTCCAAAAAGCGTAGACTAGTCCATAGACTTCTCAGAAGATTAGTTGATAGATTATTCAATAAATTAGCTCATAGGCTAGTCCATTTGTTATTCAATGGGCTAGAGTAAATACCAATCCATAGACTATTAAATTGAGATTTATCGTTCGATAAAAATGGTTCAGTCCACTAATTAGTCCATAGACATCTCAAAAGACTAGTTGATAGTCTTCATATATTAGTCCATTAGTAAGACAATATACTAGTGTAAGGGCCAGTCCATAGACTATTCTATAAAATATGGTCCAAACCACTTATTAGTTTGTACATTTATGTTATACTTACCTTGTCAGGATTAAAGTGACCACCCATGCTTAAGCAACCATTAGTCAAGTCTCCTTTCTCATGAACGTGGAAACCATGTTTTCCGGGAGTTAAACCGGTTATAAAAACGCGAACATGGACATTTTCTCCACAAGCATTTTGTATGAATGTTACATTTCCATTCACTTGATTGCTATTGGGACTCGATACATAAGCAATGGCCTCGATACGTGTATTTTTCTAAAATTGGACAAATGATTATGTATTCACAAAAAAAAAAAAAAAAAATAAGATAAATTATAAAATAAACAAATAAAATTTACCTCTGCTGCTAGAGCTGATACCGCACAAACGGCTAAAATTGTTGATAGTAAATGCCAAGAATTCATTGTTTTACTGAAATGGGGAAATGGGAAGACATACATTCATTACTATGTAGTACTACTAATATGTACAATAAAATGGAACTTGATTATTACATTTTATTAACACTATTATTTCCTTTAGTCAAATACATAAAAAAGTAGTTTAATTTTTTTGTTGTCAATGAAAAGCATGTAGTGACGTTTGCATTTTTTTATTCAATGAAATAAAATTGAATAGTAACCGTCATACTATGCTCTAAATCTTGTGTGATAAATATTTTATTGTACAATATATATATATTTAAACAGTCGTCACAAACATTATAAGGACGCCAACATATTAATTTTAATCTTTTTATTTCAAATTAGATATTTTAGCAAAAGGCATAAAAATTAGTACTTTTTTCAATGGAATTGTCCAAAATATATGTATATATTTTTATAAATTTAAAATATCTCATACAATTTTAAAATTTTACCAAAATAGATCATTTATGTACCATTGTACTGTTTTAATTCGAATGCTATCAAAAAAGTACAATTGTATCAACTTTGCCAACTCTGGTGTGTGTGTCATTAGACAGACACTATGATCTGAACAAAAAAAGCTATAAAAATCTCGTGCTTGTTTATAATGGATTTAATAAATTTTTAAACAAGTACTTATTGTATGTTATTACGAGTACGTATGTTTAAGCTTTCCGATTTACCTACACTTATGACAGATGTTTGTTAGAATGCGGCACAATAAAATAAACTATGATGACATCTTATCCAAAGCCTCTCCACATAATTTAATCTCCCATGTCTATCATGTATACATATATTTTTTGTATTATTATTGACCTCTTCTGCTAAATAGTTTTGATTTTATAACCTTAATATAATTTTTAGATTTTTTTCTACATTCAGGAATATCAATAGAAAGTGTTTTTTATTTTCAATGTCTATACAGGGTCAAATATTTAGATGAATTGTAGTTTTTTTCTATTTGAGTAATTATTCGAATGTGTTTTTGACTATCAATAGGAGATAAAACGTGATATTTATTATAGGAAATTACCACGATTTTAAACTAAATTTTTTTTATTGAAATATTGCTTTTAAATAGATAAAAATTTATTAAAATAAGCTACTAATGAATAAATTAAAAATTACTTTGAATAATTTTTAACACGAAATATTGTAAATTTTGAGATTTGTAAAAGTAATTAAATACTACAATGAGTTTAAAAATATCTTACTTTGAAGCATTTTATAATAGGTAATTGTTGTCTTTTTATACCCTACACCATTTTAGTGGGTAGGTTATATTGGATTTGTGCTGATGTTTGTAACACACAAAAATATTCGACCTATACCTTAAAGTATACCCATCGGCACGATTAAGCTATATCCGTCTGTCTGGCTGGCTGTCCATGTAAACTTTGTGCGCAAATTACAGGTCGCACGTACGAAGCCTATTGAAAATAGTTAAAATAGGCCCATTATTTCAATTAGCCCAATATGCCTCATTTGACCCTAGCTCCCATGCAAAATCCCTTTCAGAAAATTACTTGAATGTCCAAAATTCAAAATAAATATTATATAAAATTTTATCCGGATCGGTCCATATTTGCCCCTAGCCTCCATATAAACCCTCTTTTAGAATATTAGTTTTTCGTCCATAAATTGCTTAAATGTATCGGAAACAAGGTCATATTGAAGATAAATACTTTATTATGAAAAATAAATTACATTTAATATCCATAACTGGTGTGGGTATCATATGGTCGGCCACGCCCGACTATACCTAGAGTTAAATCTGGAGTTCAGTTCAAAAGAGTTATTAGTCGTTCTTTAAAAAACAGGTCGTAGTTTCTTTCTTAAAAATTGTCCTATGACACCTTTTACGTAGAACCAATTGACGATTCGATACCTCTCTAATATTTCTTTTTATATCGGAATGGTGTTGTAGAGGGGACAATTACACGATCGCAGAGTCAACTACGATAGATTGAAAGATATTTTAACACTAATTTTGACAATAGTTTGTGAAGATCAGATATCAGAGTAAGGAAATATTTTGGATTATGTTGACCATCAACAAATTTTGATTTAGTCCGTTCCGTTTGCAACACACCGAAATATTGCTCGTCCAAATATTTTGTGTTGATGGTATTGAAATAAGTTTTATAAACAGCAAAACACGATATTTCCTCAGGACCAGTACATAGAGGATCAGGCATGGAAAATTGTACTTTTGACATCGAAAACTACCATAATACTCCCATTACATATTAAGTAATTTTCTAATCTTTTGCTCATAATAGCATATAGACTAATAGACTCGTCAATAAACTAGTTAATAGGCAAGTCAATAGGGTAGTCAATGGGCTTCTTTATAGACTAATCAACAGATTAGTCCACATACAAGTCAATTGACTAATCTAAAGGTTAGTTCATAGACTACTCAACAGACTAGTCCTTAGACTATTCAATATAATAGTCCATAGATTAGTCAATAGACTATTCCTTAGACTAGTTAATAAGCTACTCAATAGGTTAGTTCATAAACCAGTCAACATAGATCATACATAAGTCAACAGACTAGTCCACATACAAGTCAATAGACAATGTAGTCTATATACTAGTTCATAGATTAGTCCACAGATTAGTTAACAGTTCAAATACTAGTCGATATACATACTAACCAATAGACTAGCTAGTTCAAATACTACCCAAAAATCTTTAGAAATATAATTCAACAGTATTTTAATCCAGTACTTTTTTTTTTGAAAGAATTGAGAGTACAATTTCAAAATTTAAGTTTTCAATGGAGAGTTTCAAAATCACCTGAATCTGATACGTATACGTATTGATATAGATATAAGGTAATAAATAATAATAATGACCTAATGACCTATTCTAGGTCAGCAATAAAATTTTAATTGTTTTTTGAATATTTTTTTTTACTTCTCTACTATTTATTTTAAGCGATCAGTAAAGGTTGGTCAAACTTTAGCTTGAAATATCAAGTCTTCGATTTCAGAATATATTAAATTTTTCCTAAAATATGTACTTCAAACTTAAACGAAGCAATAAGTATTTTTAGATTAACTAACCTGAACATTCATTTGAAGTTTAAAGTTGAAAACTGGCTCTTACTAGTATAACCAAATATTATTTTTTTTTAACTCTACAGATGGAGGAAAAATTTCCTCTTCTCAAAATTGATTGCAACTAAATTATATTTATTGTTTTTTATGTATCTGTTTAAATCGTATATTGGTTATATGCAGGTATATAAAATACCAGTTATTATGCACTTTTACCAAGGCATAAGAAGATTCTGTTGAATGTTATTTAAAAATTCACAACAACAGGCTTTAGTTTGTAACTGCAAAAACCGGTTTAAATGCAAATAATGGCGGTGATTTGAATTTTTGAACCTTTAAACAAACAAACAAACACTACCTTTAATTAAACACCTTTTTTAACCGGGCTATAAGATTCTTCAGCGTAAACAAGGTTAAATATACAACAAAAAGCTTTAATAAATAATATACTCTTACTATTTATAAACATGTTATTTATTGTTGAATTAATAAAAAACATTTTTTAACAAATTAACAGATGTACATTTTATAAATATAAGCTGTATAACGTAGTTAACAGAGATTTTTTTATAAATTAAAAATTATTAAGAAAAAACAATTGACCTGATTTAAACCACTTTTTGCTGACAATAATAAAATTTCATTTTTTAAATTGTGTTTTTATTTATTTATAAATAAATTTTACACAAAAATTCCCAATTATAATAATATTTATGCTTGCCGTTCTATTTAGTCGTAAATTAACTTACCCTATCTAATATTTTTTTGTTTTTAATTTTATTTGTTGTTCTGCAAAAAAATTTCAGTTTTTTTTAACTACGTTTTAAATAATGAACACGATTGATCAGTTTTAAAAATACAACCGTTTAATTCAACAGCTAAAATACAACTGTTCTCTTATGGTAATGGAGCAGCATTCTTTAGATCAGCTATAAATTAATCCATTCCATTCATACAAACGAAAGTGAATTGCAGTTGAAAAGCTTATAAAATTTACCTTTTTTATTATTATCTCACTCAAAAAATTTTTAAATAACAAAAGCACCCATAACAACAAGTACCCCTGAGTAATGAAATAATGAAAAGTAATGCCAGAATTATATAATTGCCAGTAAGCCCATTTGGTATAAGAAAAATCTCTAGAATATTAGTTTAGATAAGTTAATTATAGATTAGAAAGTAAAAGTTTATTTTTAAAAAGGTTTAATTTTTAAAAAAAGGATTCATTTTTAGCTGGACTTGCGAAATTTACTATAGATTTACAATCTTAAATAACTGTTTCAAAATCGTAGATATAACAAATTCTTGTTGCACGGTGTTATTATAATCAGGTGGCTATATCGCCAATGAGTATCAATAGAGAATAACATTTTTAGGGAGAATAACTTTTAAACAAAGGTGAGATGTTTGCAAAATATTTGTTTAATTTAAAAATTTCGAGATAAGTATGTAGTATTGTAATATTTCAAACATAAACAATTCTCACAGGGAACAACTAATATTACAGTATTAGACGCGATAAAAAGTATACATGATTTTTTGACTTTAAGCACGTACATTAAAAATTGTTCATGTTGTTTGGGGATTTTATAATAAATTATTAAAAGAAATTAATTCATTTCATTAGCTTGTTGTTTATTATGCAATTACGTATTTCAAAATATTCACAATTAAAAAAAAAAATACACAAAATGTAAACAAAAATGAGAAATATGAATTAATTTCTTTAGAAAAACTTGGACTTTCAGTTATTTTTACTTATTAAATAACAGACTTGGGAGGTGTCAATTAAATTTTTTTACTAAATTGAAGTAATTATTATTAATTATTTTTAAATTACAATTCTAAATTCAATTATTTTTAATTATTACACTTACTGTAATTGTAATTGGTCAAAAAGTAATTACATTTTTTAAATCATTAATCATTGGTCCTAAAAATAGGTAATATCGGTTCACAAAATTGATTTTTATACTCACCACTGAAAAATATTGACATACATATATAGCTAGATTCTTAGACGATTTAGACATTTCCGTTGTTGTTGTTATAGCAACGACGCATGTAAAGTCGGTGTAACGACAATCCTTAATCGTTGTTCGTTGAACTCCGATTCATTCCGATGCTAAGAACCGATTGTCGTGGGAACGAATCATGTCCGTTCTGCTTATCCGCTAAAAACATGATAAGTGTCATTTTTTATAGACATATGTATGTACATATGTTTTGAGTCCTTATTAGATTCTTAGACGATCTAGACATGCATGTAAAGAGGGTGTAATGACAATCCTTTGTCGTTTTACGTTGAACACGTTGAACAGCTTGTCTGCTAAAAGCGTGATAAGTGCCATATTTTCGATACATATTTGGTATGGTTTTGTAATGTAAATGGTTGAATATTAGTCCACGATTTTGCTAACATAGTTCTTATTCTTTGTAGTAATGGGAATACAACTTTGTACAAGTTAGTATAATGTACCCATATTTATTTAACTCTAGCTCCTCTTACTAAGTCCTCCTCAGAAAATGTCTTGAACAGATGATCATTAGAAAATCGGCATTATCATTTAGTCTGCATATAAAACTAGTTGTGCAGATACTAGAAGATTTAACATAATTTTGATCTTGAAATCACTATTCGGCCAGGAAAAATAATAGACCGATTCAACCAGTTTCACTAGGAGTATATGCAAATTTGATTTGTTTTAAAAAGTGTATCACTCTTTTCAATATTGTGGAGTTCGGCCCATAACTGATCTAATTTCCAATTTAAAGACCCTAGCCGAAATCAGTCATATGTTCATATTAATACCGATGTATAATGTTATTCAGCAAAAGTATAATATATTAATGAAACGTGTTTATAAATGTCAAAAGAATCGATCCATAAATACCTAAGTCCGTTTATATAGACACTTTCTGAAATTCACTTTTGATGTTAGTATTGTCATAGGAGTAAATGTTGTATTTTAAAATATTGACTTTAAAGAAGTTAATCTAAAATTGTGAAGCTATTTTCAACATTTATGTTGCACTGATCTATCAGATATACATACATATATTGTAAATCAAGCCAACCCAGAATTTAAATGTTTATCTTAAATTAATCCTTTTTTGTACTTACATTATTATCACTTTCCAAATTGTTTACAATCAAACTATGTACATATATAATTTATAAACTATTTAAAAATGTAATTACATTTATTAATATTTTGTATTTGTTTGTTTCATTATGCTTTACACCAGTCAAAAGAATTTTACAATTAAAGAATTATTTTCATTTTAATAATTACATAAGAAATAAGCCGACATTAATATAGTACTTAAATTTAATCTAATCTAATCTAATTGTATTTAACTTTAATTGTATATTACACCATTAAAATAAGACTAAAATCTATTTATAAGATTTTATAAATCATTTATAGCATCTCTGCAATATTCCACACAATTTGGCCCTAAACTACTTAAAATTAGATCTCTTCTTGTAGACGAAAGAGATTATTCAGTAATTTTCATATGTTGTGACGATGTCGTCCCAAAGATGACGTATGCATGGGTGGTGGTGGCGGATGTGCGGTACAATTCTCTATAAGTATACTATTGCTTTCGGCTTGATGATCACCATTAAGGGTTATATTATTATTGTTGTTGTGATTAATGTGGGCACGTTTCATGGGACGTTTACGCTCAGAGTCTGGATTCGAACTAAGCTCTACGGTCTGTAGACTTTGGGCCCTTTGTAGGGAGAGTCTTAAGGGTTTTTTGGGAGGTGTAGGCCTAACTGTGCGGACTTCTGACATGGTATCACTGTTTTGTTGGCGTGTTTTTAAACGTGTATTTTCATTTTCACTATCAAAATCTAAAGATTTCACACTGCGCATATCGGATGGCAAACGAGCCCTTAAAGTTTGTACATCTGTGCCTCGAGGAGTATCACGACGACGATCACAGTTTCTAGGGTTAGAAAAAAAGAAAATAAAATTAGTTTATTTAAAAAAATTTGATGTTATTAGAATAATTCTCTTACGCATTATGATGATTAAGATGTTCCACACTTCGTGCTAGAATTTGGGCTCTACTGAGTGATCTATCATAGCGTTCACGCTCCCGATCTCTATGTCTCTCTTTGTCTCTTTTATGAGATTGCTGTGACATAAAGGCCGAGTCACTATTTATGGAGATTTTGGAAGCTGACAGAGATTTATTCGAAATCATAACATTAATATCATGATTGCTATTCTCTCTTATAAGAGTTTTGGTTATATGAGCTGCTGATTTACTTTTTGTTAAATTTTGTCGTTTATTATTATCTGTTGTATCGGGTGTTTCATCTCCCAATAACTCTATGGGTTTGCCACCCACTAAAGTTGTAATATAATTGCCACGTTGATAAATCAACGGTTTGTCTGGTGGGGTTGAGGGTGGCGAAGAAATGCTAATGCTGGTAACATGACCATTATTGGCCAAATGCAATTGTTGGTGATTATCATGGTGTTGCTGATGTTGTTGTTGCTGCTGTGATTGTTGCGCTTGCTGTTGTTGATCCTGTTTACTAGTTTGTAACTCTTTGACTTGTTCCTCCAAGTAGGAAATCCTGTGTTGCAAACGCATATTATTTTCTTTTTCTAGATCGAGTTGTTTTTGTGGTATTGCTGCTGGTTTTTTTCTTAAGACCACCATTTGACATTTGCCTGTGTTACCAATAAGTTTTTGGAATTCATCTTTGGTTTTGCATGTTACTAATTTTCCGTTTATTTCCAGTATACGATCTCCTTTGTATAAACCATCACCTTCCAAAGCCCATTCTACATAGAAAACACCAGAAGCTTCCGGTATTTCCTGAGCAGCCCAACGCCCAGTAGTGGCTTGGAGGGCGTGTAAACTAAGAGTTACGCCATTATTTAGAACACTAGAAATGAGAAGACATAATAAGTTTAAAAAATACTATAAAAAACATCTATAATGGATCAAATTTAAGAGAAAACTGTTCATATTCAAAAACTATCATGAAATTAAACAAAAGTTTTCCCAAGCTTTGTTTTCATAAAAAGAAACCTGTTTTGAATTAATGGATATGGGAAGTAATTTTTAACACGTTAAACAAGGTTTCAGTATAAAGAAGTATTGGGTTTTCTCTTTTAATTGCTCTTAAAACAGGTGTGAGTAAAAAAGTTTTCAAAAACTTTTTTTCGAATATTTATCTAGCACACTTACCTAAAAAGACTTTGAGGTTCAACTTTAGATTTCTCTAGTCTCGCTTGCAATGCTCTAGCTTCTTCCACAATTGACAATAGCTGCAGTTCTTCACGGCCCAAAGCATATTCCAATTCAGCCTGTCTTATTCTAACATCTATATTACTACAAATTAAATAATTCAAATTAGAAATTTGTTTAATTTTAATATATCGAAGTGAAACTTACTCTGTAATATCGAGCTTTTCTAAAGCACTTTTTAAGTTTCTTATTTTAATCTTCTTATTCTCAGCCTCTGTTTTTAGCTTTTGTAGTTTCTGTTCGGCAGCTGGTTTGTCGGCTTCATTTAAGGGTGGTCCACAGGGACGTGGCAATTTTCCTAAACATAATTGTATGCGTAAATTTTGTATGACTGATTCGCGATCCTGTAAAGCAGAACGCAGTTCTTTCGATTCATTGCGACTAGAACGCGAAGATAAAGTACCACCCAAAGAAGTGCCCTTACGTCTACGACCAGTGGTAGCACAATGAGGTATACTGGTACTAAGATTCGAGTCAATATTAGATAAAGCTTTGGTACTTAAGTTGTCATGTAGTAAACTATATTTGGTAGATGAGTTGTTGTTGTTGCAACCTTTGGGATTTAATATAGTCTGAAAATTAACCAAGATAAGGAAGGTTGTTTAAATAATTAAATATTTGAAATGACAAATGTTTGGTTAGAATTAAATAAGTATAGTTTCGTTTAAAATTTTTTAAAATAATTTATTTATAAAAGTTATATAATTTCATTTAGGTACAATTTAAAGAACATTTTTATTTTTTATTAATAGCGAAAGTAAGTTTTTGTTTTAAGTAGTTTTCACTGATCCTTGGGTATATCATAAACACCACATTCACGATTGGCGGGCAAAGAAGCATCAATTTTCTTGGGATAAGGCAAATTCAAATTGTTCATAATTTCCACAAATTCTTCTAGGGATTTAGTCAAGCGAGGATTATATTGTTTTTCTTCCCAAACCGAACTTTCCATTTGGCCTCTGTAAGGAAAAATTTAACAAAAAATATTTAGAAACTATTTATTAAATGAACTTTTGTAAAAAAAAACATACTTGTAGTCATGAGCAGGATATATGCGATAGTTGTCGGGCAGAGTAAAGATTTTATTATGAACATTTTCATATAAATGTTGAGCGTTACCCTCTTGGAAATCGGTACGACCACAGCCTCTAATTAACAAAGTATCACCGGTGAAAACACAGCCTTGTTCATGTATAACATAACTCAAGCAGCCATTTGTATGGCCGGGAGTAGCTAAAGTCTCTATGGCATGACGACCAAATTGCACCTTATCGCCCTCGTGTATGTGTATATCGGCTTTAGCACCGCTATCAACAGATATCACTGACTGGCAACCGGGCAACAATTGTTTCAACCAACCGCTACCGGTAATATGATCAGCATGCATATGTGTATTAACTGAAAATGTTTTAAAATTAAAGTTAGTGGAGCTTAGTTTTTCCTACAAATGAAGAAAATTCTCATTGACGACGCCATTTAAGTGAGCCTGTTTGATACTAAAACCAATTAAATATTCCCCTGAAAGACTGTAATTTGCACTAATGCCAAAGCTAATTCGGATGTATGGGGTCATTAATTGTACTCTTTGTAATGCCCAGCGATGTCAGTTGTTACTTTGAGACCCTCTAGTAATGCGGAGAGAAAGTTTTATCGATTCTTTACTGCCCCCAACTATGACTACTTGAAACTTGTTTTCAAGCATTTTAGAAAGCAGTCAACTATCTGTACCCTAAGACACAACAGTATTCCTCCTAGAATAACAGACATTCTGGAAATCTCCGGTAATGAAAAAAAATTTTATATAATGCTAGAGAAATCTAAAGTTTGGGATATTGAAAACCCTACATTTTAAGAAATTAACTTAGATTTTCTTATTTTATGAAAAATTAATACTATTAATCAATTTTAACTATAAAATAAGACTTATTTGATTTGTATAGCGATAAATGTCTTATCATTTGACCCTTTTATAAGTATATTTTTAGTCCAATACTTTTATCACTACTGATAGCAGTTAGTATGTTTGTATGCCAGTAGTTTTTTCCTGTTTCGGGTAATAATAAAATGATCTAAACGTTTAATCTAAATTGCTTGAATCTAATCGACACGCAAACATTTAAGAAATGATTTAAACATTTTCAAAAATAGTACTTTTACTTAAATTTATACCTTCTATACAAATAATTTAATGGTCTTCTAATTCCTGTTGCAATATGTACTTGGCAAAAGAAAATGTTGCTAAGACAACCATTATTGTTGTGACCCTTAAAGAGTTCACCTTGACAAAGGTGACCCAAGTTGAATGGTAAAATTTCTTAAATTTCACAATTGGTATAATGCAAGTCATTTTTTTAGAGTCTGTGCGAAAATTGATAAAATTCTGTTTTTACTACTAGTTAGCGTTAAAGCGATCGTTTGCTAGAATTTACTAAATAATTGTGTGTATGTCATCTTTTGTTTATTTGTTAAAATATTTTTTTAATTTGTTTTTGCTTGTTTTTTTGTTGCTATTTCCATTTATACTACATGTAGTCCTCGTTGTACACGATAGTTTTTTATCGCGATTTTGCTTAATCACGATCTGATGTGATATCGATGCACTGAGATAGAGGAAAGTTGGATCATTGTTTACAACTAGAATCACTAGATCAGAAATTTAAAAAAGCTCCTAAGGTCCACGGATCTATTTCATTAAACTTTACTCAATATCAGGGATGGTGAGAAGTGTTTTTGTGAAGTTTAATATTTATACAAGATTTAAAGTTTAGTTAATTACCACTATTCTGGGCCATTTAAATTTTGCCAGGCCTTTCGATCCGTTCATAGATGGATCTAGAAACTAGTTAGACAGGCCGGGCCCATTTTATTTTATACATTTTTCTTTAAATAAGGACTTTTATATTCAATTCTAACAAAAATTTGCAATTTTTTTGTTGCAAAATTATAAATCGAGGTACTGGTGTAATTCTACACTATTATGAGAACGTCATGATTTGTTTAAACACATAAATATGTATATATGTACATATCTGATCGATTGTCTGAATATTATTTTTGCTTAAAGATAACAAAACAAAACATCGATAAAACGCAAAAAAGTTCCAAACAATAATGATTTGATTAAAACAGCGCGCGTGTGAGAATTTTATAATTCCAAAACGAGAAAAAAACCTACTCACCGGCATATTTTAAAGTAAAACCCAAATCTTTAATCAATTGGGCATCACGTTTAGCTTGCTCCAAAACGGGATCAATAATAATAGCTTCCTTGGCATTTACATCAGCCAACAAGTAGGTATAAGTCCAACTTTCCGAATCGAATAACTGAAAACAAAGAAGCGGACCTACATATTTACTTGATCAAGTCTTGTTATTCTAAATAGACTTACCTGACGGAAAAAGAAATCGTTGGAGAATGAAATACGTGGTAACATATTGGAACAGTGATGTAAACGATGTTGCTGCTGCTGTTGTTGTTGTTTGACTAGTAGTGGAGTTTGTTTTGCAACGAGAGTTTTTGTGGTTTGTTGTAGCAATGACTGGCGTAAAGTCGAGAATACACTAAGCACTGGTAGTTTCATTGTAAAGCTTTTTATGTTACCACTACAACTACAACAACAAAAAAACAACAATAATTACGGCTATTTTATTATTCGTTGTTCGTTATCTAAAACGTCACCAAAAGCAGCAACAAATTATACATATTGTATGTTGTATTCATGGATAGATAGAAAGGGGTCGGTGTGCCGGGCAGCGACACGAGCAGAGAGAAATAGTTAATAACAAAACAGAAACCAGATTAACAAAAACAAAAAAACAATTTGGGAAAAATTTTAATTTTTATGTTCAATATGTGTGTTTGTATTGTATGGGAACACATTAGAAAAAAAACATTTGAAAACTACTAATTATATTTTTGAAAATTTAATAAATTATTAACCAGAGATTATTCCCTGTCGTTAACAACTGTTTAATTAATAAAAAAAACAACAAATCAAATGTTTTGTCAAGTGTCCCTTTGGAATTATTATTAAACACATTGTTTCCTTCTTGAATTAACATAAACATGTGTAAGTAGTTTGGCCACCAGACACACCAACCGCATGTTGTAATTGTAACTACATATTTGCTTACTTACCGCTTTGTTTACTTTTTATTATTTCTTGTTGTTGTTATTTACACTCGCGATTTTTTTAAGAGACAGGCGTTTCCTAATTACACTGTTTATATAGTTTTTTATTACAAATTTGCACTTTGTTATCAGTTTTCTATATATTTTTTACTACGTAATACTGTCCACTACTCACTAAAGTTTAGTGTAACAGCTGTTTTGCTTCTTCAGCGTTCGGTTGTATATTGAACAGTGGAGGCATTTTTAGTTTTCTCCCATCTTCCAATAATCATCATGGCACTCATTGTGTTTAAGCTTTTTTCTGCGAAAAGCTATAGTTTATAAGCTTTTTATAGCTTTGTATCAAAGTCTATACAAATAATGTACGTGATCGTCATTTCTAATTCGTTTGTCCCACCGAATAGTTTTGTATTAGGTGGGTTTGTTTTGTTTACACATTCAACAAATATTTTGTGCTGCATATGTAAATATGTTTTGTAGTTTTTTGTCGGCTACCGTTTTAATTTGGTTTTACAGACATTTTTTAAAATATTATTAGTTCTATTTTAGGGCAGAGGAATTCTTGGGTATACGTATAAAAAGTGTTTTACGTGTTTTGTTAATTTAATTTAAACTTATTTAAATTACAGAAATTTTAATTTATTGTATGCAATAATGTATGTGTGTTACTTTTATAATACTTACTTAAATAGAAATATAAAATACTAGGAAGACCTGCGTCTATCATCAGCGTAACGTACACCAGCACTGTTCATAAATACGACAAAGAAGATGACATTTATTTTGGAGTCGTGAGATCGATAGGGACCAAAACCCCAAAACATTACACTCCCGCATTATAATACAAAGTTTGGACAGTTAAAGCCGCAAATCTAAGAAAATTATGAACTTTTGAAATGCGGATTTTTCATCGAGTACTGACAATAAAGTGGATAGAATTTCAAATGACGAAATACTTCGAAGCAAGAATCGGGTACATACATCGATTCTAATCTGTTCTAACTAATGATCAGACAAGGTAAAGCTTTGTCTTAAGGATTCTTCATAAGGAATAGTAAATAATAAGTATTAAATCCATTAAATCCCTTAAGAACATTTCCTCCAGAATGACAGACTAGAATACTATCAACTAACCTAAAGGAGGCACGAAGAATCCTTGTAAATAGGGAAAGATTATAAAGATATGTATGTATGCAAGACCCTTTTTAATAAACGCAGCTTTGTTGAAACAGCTCGACTGTGGCCTGATACGACAACCTATGGCCGAGTAGGACTCGTTCCGGAGCGAAGATTCAATTGTCATGGGAACAGGTGTTTGTAGGAGCTGTAAACTGTATAAATATTGCACTTCAAGGACTCTGAAGAAAATTCGCTTGAAAACCAAGATAAGTTCAGGCACAACTGATGTGATTGTACAGTTTATGATGTTACAACAACAAATATAGGTTGGAATCAAACTTTGTGTCAAACAAAAATTTTCGTTTTTTCCTGTTTCGCTTGATCAGTTCGGCATATTACTAAGGCGTACATGGAGAATAATTACAAGAAGTATTTACGGCACCCTTGAAACTAGTCTTATCATAATTATTTCCAACACGCATTTCTAGAACCTTTGACCTTGTGATTCTAAATTATATATACGAAAAAGACAGTCATTAATTACACTAATGACTAACCACCTGGCTGTGATGCATAGTTACTTTAGTATCCCCATGTAATGAGGAGGAGAATCGACATAACTTTAAATTCTCCAACTACTCGCAATCTATTTGAGCGTGCTGTCTTCATGTGACAGTTGACTTCCTTTTAGGACAAGTCAATGTTAAAATATATAGTCATCTAGTCGGGTGTTTTCGTACTAACCCTTAGTGGTAGGTTAAATAGCTAGTTCTGTTTTGTCTCCCCAAAATGCTGGGTGATGTAGTGTTAACCCTTCACCATCGCTATATATTTTTGTTTTTATTGATATACAATAATTAATTATAAAATTTAATTATGTATGCAAAAAATTTTTTAGCGGAAGTATTCAAAATTTGAAAATTTTGCATTCAACTGAATAATTTTGTATAAAAATTATTTTATAAAAAGTTTTTTTCAATAGATGAAGACTGAAAGAATACTTTAACAATCTTGACAATTTTAAACAATAAACTATAGATAAAAGAACTAGTTCTAAAACTATTCCTTAGAAAGGTGTTTGGTTAAGCTTACCTAGAACTAGTTACAGAAACGAATTTTAAGCAAAGCTTTCTGAATGATAGATATTTCAAATTAATTTGTCAAAATTGAATAGTAAAAGAACTTCGTTTTAATACAAAATTTATATAAAATTATTTTATATAAATTCAACATTTTTTTTTTTTTTGCAAAAACTATTATTTCACTTTATAACACTATATTGCAAATTGAACTTGAAAATTGTTTCTTTAAAAACTAACAAAATTTTGGCTAATTTTTAAGTTAAACACATACATATGTTTGGAAATTGATTTAACATAAAGTTTCTCTAGTCATTGAAAATTAATAAACGCCTTTTTTGTTAATTAATTATAAATTGTATACAAAAGTAAAATAAATGTATGTAGTTTTCAAAATTCATTACCTTTTTCCGGTCAATAATTATGCTTATTTAATAATAAATATAAAAAATATTATATTATAATATAAACAAAAAATAAAATTACAAATAAAAGGAAATCAAAAACTAAGACAAAAAACATATATGGTCTCTAGTAAAGGCACGCATGCGTAGTTAAATGTTGAAAATTAAATAATGAACTCATCACTTACAAAGAAACAAACGTATAAATAAAGATACATAAATTCATAATAACAATGAATGAAATGAACTGTTTTGAACTTCAAAATAAAAATTAAACATTTAACGTAGAAGAAGGTGTAAAATTATATTGAAATCTTCTGCACAAACCATAAACGAGATACACTATACTCTTTATGAAACAATAGACAATGAATTACATTATTACAAAGTTTCCCAGCAAAAAATTATATTAAGAAGTAAAGGGTTAAAATGCATTTTAAGTCATTAAATATAACAAGGTGTTGACATTGAAGGCAAGTACTTACCATGCTCGCTTACAAGTAGTGAGCTAGGTAAGTACCTACTACGATCGCCAACAAATAAGGAGTTATGTAAGTAGTAGCCTACGACGTTTTGACAAAAAAAAAAAATTATTAGTTTTCCTTTTTGTAATAAACAATACTCGGAAACTAAATGTCAATGCTAAGAAGTAAGTACTTATGTACATAGTTATTTGTAAGTCATTACAAGACTTTTTCTAAGTAATGCTGACGGTATGTAATACTCATTGAAAAGTAAGCTTTCGAGTAAGTACAAGTTTTTGCTGGGTTGGTTAGTTAGTTTGTTAGGTACTTATATTTGGTTTTTCTTTTTTTCCTTTATTTGGCTAAAGAAGAGGGCGGAGGAGGTGCGAGCATTGTGTGTGATGATTGTTGGTTAAATATTCATTTGGTTGAATTGTTTGTTTCGCTGACTGACTGGCGGGTTTGTGCCGAATACACTTGAAATGAATTTGTGATCCAAGAAAATCAAATACTGGCAAGCAAAATGCCAAAAATGAATTTAAAACACTTTTAATGGCGAAAGTAATTATTGAGGCATTAAAAAGATGTTTTCAGAGGTGTAGTTTAAACATTGCCAAATATTTCATAAACGCAATAATAATTGTTATTGTTTAAAACATTTTTTTCCACAACATTGCTTGGTTTATAGTTATTATTAGTAAATTGAATTTGTTACCAGAGTTTGAGTTAAATGAACTTAATAAATGTATTTAGGCTTAGTTTGCAAACATTAAGTTATAATGAGGTTTAGTTAAACTTAAATATTAAAACAGTTAAATAAATAGGGTTTAAATGGATTTGGCAATTTTCTAAAGTTTATTTATTCTTCTTAACTTCTTTAACTTACCATTGAAGCGGATTTTTGTTTTGCAAACGCACGATGAGCAGCCGATATTGGTTCACTAATTACACTACCCCCGTCCATGGTGTCGATTTAATGAGATCTGTAATGGAAACCAAAAGATGAAAAACAAAAAAGAATTGAATAATTTTTTTTGTATTAAAACTCTAATGTTATATAATATGCTGTGAGCAAATAAAACAGACTTAGAAGATGTGTGAGACGACTATCTGTCTAGGTTTCTATACACCCAGCCATGATCTGTATGATAAAGTTACAATAACACATCTGTAAGCTGTAAGATCAATGATCAGATTAAAGCTGTAAATACAAATGTATAGAATTATTTTTACACAAATGCGGTGTATTTAAAGTGAATTATTACATACATATTACATTACATAACCAACAATAACAACAACTACTTACATACATATGTATGTATGTATTCTTAGCTGTCAAATATCTATCTGAAACATCTGAGTTTATATTATTTTATCATGCATGCATGACTGCATGCAAATATTTTTGTTGTTTTTAGTTTGTTTTTTCCTGAAAATATTCCCACAATTCAACTTTTACACTAACATACTCATAAATTATTTTATTTTACTCCACTTTAATTCTTTTTTTAGTTCAAACTGCTTGAAATGCATTTGTGTCTGAAAAGAGCAAAACTATATTCTTCCCGCTTGAGGTAAAAGGAAGAAAGAAAGTTCAATTCCCACCGTCATCATCAGCAACATTATTTATTGTTGTCTTTTTCATTTTCCAACAATTCCAACAATAAACTCGTAATGTAATAATTGTAGCTGTTGTTAAAAGTCGGGTATGAATGAAGTATTTACAACTTACAAATGTGCCAGCCACACTTTTGTGAGATAGAGAGGTGTTCACACTAGCAGTGATTTTTATAAATAGGCAAGGGAAATGAAAACTAACACTGAACTAGTTCCGTAACTGGGAGTGGCAATTGTTGTTTGATTCTAACTGAACTATGTCAGTCAAACTTGTACCATTTTGAGCTGTGTTGAATCCGATTTTGGCAATAGAATTTCTCTTTCACGTCAGGTTTCGACCACATCCTGTTTCAGTATAAGGCTTTAGAAAATAATTAATTTTATCATCTACTTTTGATTTTTTTCAAATTTTAGCTCTCGAGGAATAAACAATTACTGTTTATAAGTGAATTTTTAACTTCAAGTCATTTTCTGAAGGGGAATTTGTATGTGGTCTAGGGTGAAAGCAGGTCCGATCATTACAAAAATCGGCAGTATCATTAAGACTTTTATAAAACTTAAGTTTTACCGATTTTTGTTAAGATATTGGAATATTTAACTTAATTATGAGTTCAAAATCACTATTCGAGGTATACGCTTGTATTTGGGGCTAGGCGAAATATAGAACCGATTTTAACCTTGGGTCATAAGAGGAGTATGTTCCAATTATTATCCAATTACCTTAAAAATTGCGATTTGTAATTTGCGCACGAGGTTTGCATGAACACACAAACAAATAGACGGACATAGCTACATAAATCGACTCAGAAAGTGATTATGAGCCGATTTTAACCTTGGGTCAAAAGAGGAGTGTGTGCCAATTATTATCCAATTAATGGACACACAGCCAGATGGTCGGACAGACGGACATAGCTACATAAATCGGCAGTGGTTCTAAACCGATTGGTTTACTTTAAGGGCCAATATTTTGGGGTGTTACAAACATCAGCACAAATGCATAATACCCTACCCACTATATGTAGTAGTTTACGATACATTAAATGTCATGTTATAATACATAATCATAAATTTAAAAAACAACTTAAAGAAACTAGTTGTTTTAAATCGATTAATTGAGAAAGAATCTTTTACCATATTTGTATAACCATGATAAATTTCTTAATCATAATTAAATTTTATTATTTTTTTTTTTTTTTTGTTTTTTTTTTTGGTTAACAAAACAACTTCTATTTAAAATGATTTTTAAACAATTTAATATACTTTTTCCAAAACATTTTAATACTTTCTTTACCATATTTGAATTCACTAAATTGGGTTCGTTGCCAGTGTGAACATCTAGTTTTTCTAATTTTCAAATTTATCTTAAATTTTACTTTAAAGGGGGGCTACTTTATGTATATATGTATATTTTGAATTAATTCATTGTTAAAACATGTCTCAACTTTTTTCCACTTCTTTCAACATTTCTTCTTACTTCATCATTTTTTTTGGGTTCATTGTTAGCTATTGCTTTTGGCCATCTTGCTGAGGAGCTAGCTAGCTATCGGTAAGGTTTGTTTAACTTTAGCTTCGTTCTAAACCACTGAACTATAACCACCATAGTGTTGATAATTATATACTTCATGTGGTTATTTACAGAGATACAAACAAGCATGTACAGACGGCTAAGTACATAAACCACGATTTGATCGCTTGTAAGTAGTAAGAGAAGGAGTATGTATAGTTAGTCGGTTTTAATTCCCCCACCATATCCATTAATTGTACTCCAATGTCTTTTATTGCTGTCGGTTTAAACAATTAAAACCTTGCATGTTTAATTTATTTTTATTAACAAAGTTAGAACAAACTGATGTTTAAAGTATAATATTTAAAAAACATTACTAATCAAAATGGCCCTCATTATTTTAAAGGAAATTTTCTTTAAAATTCGCTAGAATAGTAATTAGTTTAATTTCCTAGTGAAACTGTAGATTGGCATCACTGCCAAAGAACAGTTATTTTTTCATTTCATAAAAAAAGCCGTCTGGTTACTTTAAATTTATTAATTTGTTTACCTTATTTTCTTTTTCCTATATAATTGTTAATTTGATATTCATTACAAAAATAAGAAGAAAAAAAATTAAAAACTTGTGTCTTAATAAGTGCAATCAACATTATAGACATTACAAACATTATCATTAGATTTCTGTGTCATTTGAGTTTTATTTTTTTTATTCAAACTTTTTTTTTTTCTTCAAAATAACTCATACAAGTATTCACAGTTACGATCAATGTTTATTTCACTTGTTTAATATTTGTGTCTTTTTTTCTGGTGGCAAATCTGGACAATCTTGTTGTTAAACGGTGTTTGGCCATTTGGTTCTTATTTTGTTGTTTTTTTTTTTTTTTTGGTTTATACGCAGAATTCCTCTTCCTTTTCCTCAGTCTCTCTTTAGCTTGACTCATTTATTTAACATTAACCATCTCAATCTAATCGTAGTAAAATTTTAGAAAAAAAAAGTCATTTATTTAGACTTTTTGTTGTTGGTTTCAACCAAACAAGCTTTAACTAGTAGAAGAACCTCATTTATTCTAGTATTTCTTTTTTTTTTTCTTTTTCTAATATTCATATGAATGAATTATGATTGTGCGTAAAGTTAATTATCAAAACTCTACTAGAATGTATTTATATTTTTGTTCAAACCTCTTTCTAAACTAAAAACATTAAGAATCATCATCATTATTAAAACGAGAAATATAACAAGTAATAAAATTTACTATGTACTAGATTGCCAGATTGTTTTTAGAAAATATTTAAAATTTTGGCAATTTTTTGGCACAAGAACTATGTCTGTTTTAATGCATTTTTTTAATTAAAGAACCTAAAGAATTGAGCTACTCTGCATCCGACCTCAGAATTCCTCCAAAGTATTGCCATTGTTTTCCCCTCAAATCATATTCCAAAAACCGCTGGAAACCAATCAGATTTAGGTTTTTTGCAAAAGCCGCTAGAGGTGTAAAGTGGTCTATCGTAGACTATGGACCAGATTTTAGACTTGACTTTAGATTAGACTATGATCAGTGAAAAAGTTTTTTTACAAAAAATTGGGATAAAACGCCAAAAAATCTCCAAAATTCCCATTACCCGCTAAAAGGCACTTTTCCGTAATTGACATTTAAATAACGAGAATAACGTTAAATTGACTACAGTGTTCCTACATCACAACAGAATTCGAAATAAATTCTAGTAACTTCGATTTCGTTCGAATTTTTGATTTTTTTTTTAATTTTAATTTTAAGAAAAATTTTACTTCTTTAGCAAAAATTAATTTAAGTGTAAATCAAATTTTTGTAGAAAAATTTAATTTGTAGTGAAAATTTAAATTTTTATTGAAAAATACAAGTTTTAGTGAAAATTTTAATATTTATTTTAAAATTTAAGATTTTGAATTTTTTTGTGAAAATTTGAATTTTTGATGAAAATCAAATTTTTAGTAAAAATTTCAATTTGTAGTGAAAATTAAAATTTTTAGTGAAAATTTTATTTTTTTGTGAAAATTTCAATTTTTAATGAAAATTTTAATTTTTAGTGAAAATTAAAATGGGAATGAAATTTTTCACGAACTTTTTTAAATTCTTTTAACAGATCTGATTTTGGTCATTTTGTAATTTCGACAACGAATCGTTGTTATTTCGACAATGCAACGTTCTGTTGGACAACATAGCGTTGTTACTTTGGTAACACACTATTATTATTTTTTTTTTGTTTTGATAACGTCGTATATTTTTTATATTTTTGTTATTCATTTGACAACTATCCGTTCATATTTTGAGAACGGATGTTATTGAAAAATTATAAACATTTTGGTGTCAATTTGGTACCAGGCTTGTATAATTTTAATACGTCTTTTTCTCCTCTGTGTAGTTCATTTAAATGTTGTAAAATAATAGGTATATTTATGGATCAGTATCTCTCTTAAATTAGGATTAATTAGGATGATCTGTCAAAATCATGTGTAGAAGAGTATGGATGGGATCGTCTAAACGCAATATGTATTGAAACCATCACACATTGAGAAAAAATACGGATGCAATATTTGACAGTCGTATGGTTCTCTTCATTTTCTGAAATGATTCAAAAAAAGGCAACTCACATAAGAGCAGGGATGTATTTTTACGTAAGCACATACAAAAAAAAATAAAACAGCTGTTTCCAGTTTACTTTGTTATTGTTTTATAACAATCGTGTAAATACAAATAACATAAATCATAGGACTTTTATTCTCTTTTTTACCATACGAATGTAATTTCATTTTACTTTTTCATTAGACTTTACGTACGTAAAGTGTGATCGTGTAAAGTCCCTTTAAGAGTGGACACTATT